AGAGAACTCAATAAATACATTATCAGAGGTTGCTTCAATAGATAATACACACTAAAAAGCAATCCTGTTCATGTGGAAGACATAATTTCAAAGGATTAACAATGAGACTGGGACGATAGGACACAGTGCCTAGAATCTAGACAAATCTCACAATAAATCAGGATTAGAAGATATGAACACAGCAGGGTATCCATTCGGCTACTAAGAAATCCAACGGAATTATAAAAGCTTGAAAAATTCCCAGCCATAAGTCTACAGGCTATACAATATTGAAATCATCCAGAAATCTCTCACAAATCACAAATAACTTCTGATATGAGAAACACCTCATTTGTAATGGAATTTTAAATCGTATAAATATGTAGTAGATGGATTAACACAGAACTCGACCAATAACCAACACTCTGCCTTGCAATGATGTGGCAAAATCAACACAATATGATTAGTACAGTTGCTTTGCCTCACTTTGGGACTCTTCATCAACTCACACCCATGATCTTCATACCGTCAGTTGAGCTAGCTCACTGTTTAGCCACCAAGACTAAACTCTCTGCCCCATTAATTATAATTTCTCTCAATTTTCGATTTTAGTGCGACTGCCAGGCAATGTAAGCTTTGAGTGTTTGTCCTCACATGTGACCTGGTGGACCACCTCATTTATTGTGACTTCTTGCTAAAACTCCAGACAACATCGTCCTATAGTCAGTCACTAGTGAGCACCAGAATCTTTTTGTTATGCTGTCTATTCCCTAAAAAGTCAGCATGATAACATGAAATAAGGTGAAATGGTTATAACCAGAACTTGATAGGACAATTAGATGAATTTCCCTTCTCTTTTTCTGTTTATTTCTCCTGTGAATTATTCAGTAGTGAATAGTGAAAGAGTTACGTGGGCATGACTAAATAGTACGGGAACGCTTCATGTTAAGTTTCAAATTGTGGACAGAAATTGCAGTTCTGTTTATTATAAGTGGCATTTTGCTAAATTATAAGATCTACTCTACTTTTTTTAAGAATGTTCCAGATTACCTTTAATAATAATTACTCATGCTGAAATAGTCTTTTGTACATAAAACTACACTGTCGAATTTCCAGATGGCAGAGATCCTGAACCTATCATCGGTTTCAGAAGGTTTAGCTTCATAAGCAGAACACTATGTACTGTAACTGACTCACAACAAAAGGAAACAGCTGGGCGACACAACTGTTTATTCGCCAACCTGTAACGAAACGGATTTACAATGGTTAATCAGAGCCAAAGTCTATATGTAAACGTTAACATAATGTACAACAATACTTCTGATCGTATTTCTTCTGTCTTCTGCCAACCAGTACACGATTAAGCAATGACAACCTTCATGTCTCCCGTCAATATGGAGACCAGTTTGAACAAACAGACGATTCAATGTTCAACAGCATAGACATTCACTGTGTTGTCACGTTTCCTCCCATATCCTCAGTCGATGGACGGGAAAAGAAGAAATTAGAAAGAAAAGAACACGAAGTTCAGCAAAGATATCTTTTCGGTGATTTCATTTTCAAAATTAGCTGTACAATCGCATTTAAATACACAATTTCACATAGATACAATTCTTATTTGAATCTACATAATTACAAAGGCGAATAAAAGGTGACAATTATTTTTAACTAGAAATGGCTTACGAGAAGCATAGAAACAAAATTACATAAGATTTGAACGAATTACTCGTGTGTGTAAAGATGAGCATGGAAACAAAATTGAAATAATAATTTTTAACTTGAGATGGGAGTTAGAAGGTGCGAATAAATATTACAAAAGCCTTAAAAACAAAAAGTACACAGGATTAAGATGTAATTGTAAAATAGTTATTTCGAACGAATTAAAAAAAATCTGAGCAGGAAAGGCATGGCAACAAACTTAAAATAACTGTTTGCATAACTGAAAAAATGGGGTGAATTGAATGCAGACAGAGAGAGAGAGTAAGAATCACACGCACAGCGAAATACAGAAAGATCTAAAAAAAGAACCATGGAAAAAAACGGAAACTAAGGGAACATACGGAACTAGTTTCATGGTAGCTGTAGAAGTTGGACTAATTTCTTTTGAAAACACAGCTCTGGCTTTTTGATGCTCATTGCTGGAGCTTCTTTAGTACAGAGAAGTCAGAAACCTACTGCTTTTAGTAGGTTTCTGTTGACTTTGTAAATGACTTCGAATAAATTAGTTGAGACGTTTTGGGAGTTGTTGCTCAGATGCTCATCACTGGCACTTCTGATTCAAATGAAAATGACATCGAGATTCATTAGAACTCTATCAAAATACACATTTAAATGCAATAAAATTAATAAACTGTCCGTTATACATTTTTCAGAACAATATTTTACTAAATAAGTATGACAATAAGCAAAAAGGAATACGGAGTATAACAGTCAATATTTCATATACTAACCACATGATTTTGAATAAAGCAAGAACTACAGTTTTAGCAGAATAATATGGTACCATCATTTATTTTGTTGGCTTCTCATCAGCTGCTTACAGCTTAAATAAATTATGAGGTTTAAGTACAGACATGTTTTAACATGCAAATTTTACATGTTGTCAGTTGACAGAAAATTCCACAATTAGTAAACAGTGCTCAGAAGATTGCTTGATTATTATTATGATTATTTAATGGAATATAACTGATCTCCCAGAAACCTGAAAAGTTGTTAGTTCTTCGTTGATGAACCATTTACATACGTCTAGCGAGCATAGCAGTCGTCAGCTTTGAATTTCATAGGTCAGCTTTGACTTCTTTATATTTTTTCATCAATCCTGGGTGGTAATTCATTCTTTTTTGTGTACTGTTCAGTTAGTCTACTGTATTCCTCATCATTTATAATTCTTGTATTCTATTTCGCCACTTAAAAATGATGACATCGTGAATGTATTTCTGAAATTTCTGTCTAAGTTAGCAGTGTTTAATCAGTTTTAAAATTCTACTTAGACTTTACATGAACAGCTAAAATTGACTCACTGTGTCGATGTATAGTTTGTTCATTAAAGAAAAGTCCCTGTTTTTTTTATCTGAAATGACTATACTTTTAAGCGCCACTTTTAAAGAATTAAAGAAACAGGCAAATTTAATTTTAGAAGAGAATAGGCGGGATTTATTTGTTTTATTTTTATTCCTTCACGCTCCCAGTGGAACGTGAGGCATTCAAGCTGGTGACTTGAAGTTTCTGTAGAAGTGGTGTTTATTTTAATGGGTTGGGGTTGCTAGCCATATGCCCAACCTTACCTCTTTACCAGTATTATTACTGACTTAACTAGGCAGAGGTGTGCGTCGGCGGCCTGTGATCGAACCCCAGACCACATGAGGCGCGGTTGGCGGGCACCCTACCACTGTGCCACCGACGCACAATCAGGATTTAGAAGAAACAATTCAGTAAGTCATTACTGTGAGACAATAACAATAATACTGATTGTGTTGTTACCTTCCCAGCTCCATTCATTTAGTGATGAGAGACAGCATCAAAACCCCTAACAAACAGAGTCTCCAAGTCGGCCAGATTACAATTAAATGAAGCAAACGTTGTAGCTCAAATGACCTAGCGAAATATCTAGCAAAACTTTTGGGATTAAAACTTGTGGTGTACTATGCTTTCCACTTATTGTACACTCATTTAAAAAGCCTCTATGTACGATATTATTGTTGTTATGAAAATAAAAATAATAGCTTTATTTTGTACACCGCTTATATACTGTACAAAATCTTCAGCATATTTTGTTGCATCGTACTTTCTTTTCATCTAGGACCTTCAAATAAAACATCACGTGACGGTGGAACAAGTGGAATACTTCTGTCTGACATGAAACGTATACCAAGACACTATTCTGTCTCTACTCTGTCTTCTTCAGTAAATGTATGTAATATGGTTGGGTGGCAGTTAGAAAGGTTTCAGGAATCTATTCTGTGAATCAAGGACGAAACCCATGAACAGCCAGCTCTTGCGTTGCAATACGCTGCAGCCCTGTGATTATGCTTCTTTCCACGATAACTAGCAACTTGAGAATCAGCAAATTGTAAACACATAAACACCCCCCAGAGCAATAAATGAGACTCAAGGTCAAATGTTTTTAAACTTAAACACATTTCGCGGGAGAAAATATCTGTGAAATTTTGATAGGATTTTTCGTTAACCCAAAATTAAGCAGACCGCCAATGTTACTTGTGACCTTGAAATATCTTTAAAATGAACTGAGACAGGCGGCTTCTGAGTATTTCTGTCGATGAGCCTTCACTAAATTGCAGATTTAGACAGAGATGATTTTTAGAAGTAGAAAATGTGTGCGGTCTTAAAGACGTAGACTATATGGATTTTGTGAATAAACATTCATAGTACGAATTTCATGTCGAAGTTGAAAAAAGGCGCTTGGAGAAGAGGACTAACACCTTTGGTTTTGTATAAGAGATGTGTCGATGACACTGTTATTATATCTGATAATGAAAAGAATTTGAAAGTTATTCTGGATTTTCGTCCAGTTCAAATTAGATGAGTCCGATTCGAAACGAGCCGTCCTGGATGTTTAACTTGCAAGATGTGACGCTGAAAAGATGTATCCACAGAAAGCCAATATGGAACGGATAACTAACAGACCTTCATACAATTAGGTATCTTTATTCGCAAAACGAAACTGAACCACAAGATTCGAAACATTTGTAGGCTTGTCACCTTGGAAGTGGGGCTGGATATTCTAAAAGAGATTTTCATTATAAAATGACTACCTCGGACAATTCATCACAATATCCATGAGACCTACATTACTAAAACTACGAACATTTTATAACTCTGAAAACCTCCTCTGTCTGAATCTTCAACTCAATGTTGACGCATTGGCAGAAACATCTTATTTATCAATATCCTCACTGTATGATTTGCAATACTGCAAAACTGCAAGGAGTGGTAGTTTAACTCAAGAATAAAAACTGCATTTAATTTCGCTAATTATTGTCTTCATGTCAGTGATGAATTAGTCTGCAAAAAAAAAACATATCTGTAATGATTAGTCGGGTTCCATATAATAACTGATAGACAGAGGGGCTGGATACAAAATCTGTCTATACATCTAACTGCTTGTAATTGGATAATACATGCACGAATTACTATGATCTCTATTTTAAGATTGTTATTACGTCTTTTCTGTTATGTGCAACTCAGCGTACACAATATAGTCAATAAACTATGCTTATGCACTTGAAGTATTTTTCAATTCTTTCGTATTTCCTGTTCAATACTGTCATTGGACGTAAGTAATGTAATAATAATAATGATAATATAATAATAATGGTTTTTTAAAGTTTTATTCCTACAAATGAAGTTCCTAGAAATGATTAAATAATCAACTAGGGTTTGGTATTCATTTGACGCGTAAAACAAAGGATTTAGGGGCTACTACTGCTTTACATGCACTAATCACTCTCACTGTATAAAGACAACTTTCAAATTATGACATTATTTCAATCAGTAACACTGTATAATATCACAAGAAGGTCTGGAACTTCTTCTTCTCATCCGTCTGCCCACACGTAAGTACCTCTATTGAAAGATACCTACAACACATTATCAGCACTGTGTTGTATGGTGAAAATGGTTTAATCCTGAGTCACTTTGAGGTTAAGCCTCTTGAAATTGATCTCAGCGACAAACTTTATTACTTTTCAAGTATTGGTTTTGTAGGGAGTTTTTGTTTGATTCTATGAAGGATATCTAGTTGGAAGCCGTGACCAGTAGGGTACAGCAGGTCAAAGATGAGGCAGTAACTCATCGAATAAGACATTGCAAAATGGTCGCCCTATGTCGTGAATTGGCAAAAGTTAGAATTCAAGAACCATTGGATCGGGTCCCAGTGGCTCAATAGTCTACGAGCTCGCCTTGTGACCAGAAGGTCCTGGGTTTGAAACCTGGCGGGGGAGGCTCACTGTGAAGAGTCCTAAACCAAGACGAAACAGCTGTCCAGTGCTCCCATGTTCTCCAGTGGTTCTCTAACTGATATCAGCTCATGATGAAATCCTCCACACAATCAAACTTTATAACATTATATAGTTAATGAAGCATTTGGTTCATATTTGTTTTGTATGTGATGTTGGTAACATGTATAAATATGAATTAATTTGGTAGTCTTTTGTTTAAGTTAACTGTCAGTATCTCGTGCTCTATCATTTCAAGTGATTTTAGCTTTATTTAATGAGTGAGATTTAAAAGTGATGAGTATACTTTTTTAACTACTAATTATACATGTATTGTTTGAGCATTAGACGTATTGAGAATTACATCCTTACCATCAGACACTAATGCTGCTTATTGAATTTTCAGTTGGTCTTTTGTAAGATTTTTATACACTTAATGGAGGAGTTTGCATACTTTCCATGGAAAGCCAGTAGCAGCTTTGACCGACAGAAGTTAAGCTTGATTTATAATGTGGTATTTTTTTATTCCATCGGGTTTTCAGTGTAGCATAGGGCTTCAAGCTAGAGGCTTGAAGTTTCGGTAATAGTGGTGTTTATTTTTAAAGGATGAGGTTGCTAACCTCATGCCCAACGTTTTCTCTTTACCAGCTTTTTTAAATATTGGCTCAATAAGGTAAAGGATTGCTTTGGCCGGGAATCGAACCCTGAGCCATTTGTATGGTCGATGAGGATGCTAACTGCTATGCCACCGACGCGATGGCTATTAGGGTGTTTCAATAAATAGGCCAAAATATACCAACATGATTTCATGAAAATTTAATAATGTACGTCTAACTTTTGAACCTACAACCATCCTATAATCCACTTCAAAATTGCTCAGATATCAAAAACAGGTCAAATTTTATAAGTTTAGCGTATGCAATGCAGGTCAAGCGAATAATATCACAGAAAATATGTACGTCAGAAAGAAATTTCAATGCGAAATTTCATTTTAAAACATATATCAAAAATATAATTTGTCATGAAACTGCCCTAGAAATGGACTACAGAGCCACAATTAGCGAAGGGCTGCGATGAAGTCACTCAGTATACTTATTTCAAAAAGGTATTAAGAAGACTTATAAACTTATGTTTGTGCAAAAGGGGTATTCATCTGGGGGTTAATCAACATAAAGTTTAATAAAGCATTAAGAAGACAAATATTACGCGATCACATCATTTCGTAGTTTCTTCATGATCGCCTACCAACTAGTATGGTTGTCAATATTGAAATAAAATATTTGACAATTAATCAGTTATATAGGTGTTGGTGGCACAGAGGTAGAATGCTCGCCAACCACGCCTCATGTAGTCCGGGGTTCAATCCCCGACCACCAAAGCATGAGGCTAGCATCCCCATCCCATAAAAATAAATATCCCTGCTACCGATGCTTCAAGCCTCTAGCTTGAAGGGCTAAGTTCCACTGGGAGCGTAAAGGAATAGGAAAACAAGTTAGTTACATATAGTAAAAAATCATTATTCATAACCAATCTTAACTTAATAGGTCACTGCGTCTTTTTTGTCTAGTGGGTGTTGTCAGAACTTCATGATATTTGGAATAATAATAATAATAATAATAATAATAGAGACTTTTTCCACATCAATACAAACTACCCGCATTAAATTACCATTCTAGTGTGATTAAATCATGTAATGAAACTCACATTCTAAACTGCCTCCCTTCACCTTACCACTCGAATATTTTCACTTCCCGTGTCTATGATTACAGAAGAAAATTCTATGGATTCTACTACACACTGTATCTACAAGTTCAGCTGAAACTGCTGGGACACGTATATATATATATATATATATAATGTTATGACGTGGTCGAAAAATGCGGGTTCCTAAACTGTTCTTAAGTCACACAAACAATCCCGATTTACTTGATCTGAAAAGATGGGAAGCATAATCCATTGCAATATGTTTATTGATGTTTGGTTACGAAATCACTATTATTGAATGTTTCTGAGTTATTTCATAGAACTTTAATTCAAGAATTTTATAGGTAATGAAAGCCTTTTGGACTTATTAGTCTGCATCCAAAATTAGGCGTACAGAAAAAACAAACGATCTTTGCCCACTATGAACTAATTAGCTGGTTCTTATATGGCTAATTATTGATTTGGAACTTATTTTTATTGAACTGGTTAACTGCGAATTGATTGGAAAGAGTCTACGAAATGATATCATCTCTCAGTATGTCTCCCTAATGCTTCATTTATGAACACGGTGTTACATGGGATTAATTTGAGCGTATAATTTAGGTACTGTCATAGAATATAATTCCATGTTACAGTAGTGATAAAAAGATGACCTCCTGGGTAATAATAATAATAATAATGTCGCTTTTATTCCAGAAACAGTACTTGTGGTACAGTGTGGAATTTTCAGCACATATCTACAATATTGCATCTAATTTCATCGTACATTTAAAAGGAGTATTACAAAAAAACAAATATAAAAATTAAAAAAAAACAAAAACAAAAAAGAAACACAGAAATAACAAAAAAATGCAAATAAAAAAAACCAAGTAGAGAGGAAGATAAACACCGATAATGGAAAAAAATATTTCAGTATTTGGTAGTGGAAGCTATGATATATGTATGCGTGGTAAACAATAACAGCTATAATCATACAAGAAATTATGAGATGTTCTTAAGAATGTATATAGCCAAGATGATCAGTTAATTTAATTGAACTACTAAACAATCATAAAATAAACATTAGAGGGTTTTTTATTTTTATTGTCAGCACTAATACGGTGTCTGTAGTGGTAGTGTGAGTAATCATGCATAATACAAAAATTTTTGGATGGTGATAACGGCGTTCACAATCAAGATTGTCAGTTTCAATAATGCCGAACAAAAAAGAACAATTACAAAACTAATATTACATGAAGGTTATTGGCAGGATAATTTTGTAGTACTCATAGTGATAAATATAGTCGGACCCAGTAGATACACAAAAGAAGGAATAGAATAAAGAATAAAAACGTAAGCCAATGATAATAATTTTTAGGTAGCTCAGTATGCTTAAGAAGGTTGTTCACTATGGAGTACAAATAAGAGAGTATAAGGGAGAAATAAAAGAGCCATAATTATGTTATTAACAACAAAGCAAGTCATAGGTTTCGCGCTTAACATTGCCTCTGTCACTTAGAACACGGACTAATTATGGATGGTATCGTTGAGTTCCTATACTTGGTTGTACGAGCATATATTATTTTGTACTGATTTCTGGTTCTACCTGATGAGATGCAAGGAGAGAGTTGGGAATAGAGGGGTGTTGGGGGGTCGGAGTTATGGTTTTAGACCATTTTTCGCATGTATTCAGATGCTTATCTACTAATGTAGTGAAGATCTGACTGAGTTCTACACCACTATTCCTACTGACTACCTCCAACATCCTTCTCTGGATGGTATAGTCCTTTTTCAGTAACCCGGGAAAGACTAATGGGGAGCAGTAAAGTAGAATAGGTAGGATACGAGAGTTGACAAGTTGTGAAAACAGAGGTTGAGAAGTACAATCTACTACTCATAATTATATTAGTGTATTTACAGAAATTCATTAAGAAAGTTAAATATCAGAGGGTTACCTACAAAACATTCTTTTGGCGATGTTATCCAGTCATTATTTCTATATCATTTTGCGTTGTACCAGATAAATTTCCCTGATATAAAATAGTAACATTCAAGTTGAAATACAACCTTATTCCTTATAGAAATGTAGCCAGTATTCTAATCCTTGATCATCAGTAACTATTCGACATCTGGAATGTATAAGAATAAAACCCTCTTTAAACATAAATTTATATCTGTGACATTATTTAGTTGTACTGTCTCTCATTTCCAATAGGGATAGATCTGAAATATTCTATAGTTTTCGAGAAGTTCAGTGAAAATACCGTTTAAAAGCAACTATTCATCAGTAGGAGAAAGGAGTTTATCACAAAATAACCGTCATTCTCGTATATTCATTCATTTAACAAACTTTGTAATGTATATGTAGCACATTTAGGTTCTTCACGGTTATATATGGTTCAAAGAATTGTTGCACACCTCCTAAAATGTATTTCCAAACGCACACTGCCAAATTTCATCAACAGCTGTCTTCTCTGGCTCAATAAAGAAGATCAGATTACCGGCCTGAAAGGATAAGCAACCGGGAACTCTGGGAGCCAGCCATGAATCTATTCTCCAAAGATTATACCCAATGGGATTGGAGATAGATTGAACACACGCTGAAATGTCAGCTGAGTTAAGCCACCTGCAGGGCTATCAAGAGGAACCCTAGAGGGAAATAGAGAGTTCGGTATGCGTCGAAGAGTGATATGGTAAGCATCATTTGAGGAGAAGAAGAAGAAAGCTTATGCGTAATCGTGGCGACAACTGAAGAGGATTTAAGAGGATAGGATGAAATAGAGGCGTGCTGTCAAAGTCTGAATATATTCCACTTAGAATTCAAAGGAATAATAAAAATATAAAATAATAAATAGTTTCTTCTTCAAGCAGTTAATGACGCAGACACATTGGTATAATGTCATAATCTATCTTTGAAAAGGTCTCTTACCTCTATTTATTAGGTCCATATTTTAAAAGATGTTATCCAGACAATTAAAACACTTTATTTTTTCTATTGTATGTACAGAAGACCCTAACGTTCACCAAAAAAAGTATAAATGTTACGTGTGCGACTTCTGTCCGATAGTATTAAATGGAACTCAAGTGAAGACTGGATGTTATGCTTGTGCAGTAAGTTATTTTTCAGTATTGACATTTCATTGAATTCCTACAGTGTACAAATGAGTCGTCAATGAAACATTAAATGAACGTAGGTGTAATAGGTGTTCAAGGATAATTTCGTGAATAATAGGTTTCGGTATCTTGTTAGGCACGTTATTCTGAAGCTGCACGAACAGCAAGGAGTTTCAACAGGTCTATATTAAGTCTGTATTGAATCGACTATAATTTCAAGAGTCAGTTTGTAGGGATTCGATTTGTTTCAAGTTAAATCAAGTTTTGATAATATAAGTTAGAGAACCACTAAAAACCAAGGATCGCTGGACAGTTGTTTCGTCCTAGTTTGGGACTCTTCATTAACACGCAAGCACCGAAATTCTAGAGCTGTTGAATCAGATCTACAAGCTTGCCTTTGGTTCAAAACCCGGTAGGTAAAAATACTACCGAAGTATCCCCAATTCGAGTGAAGCAGTTGTCTAGTACCCCTCAGTTTTGAGTGGTTCTTTCACTGATATCAATCCATGATCAGACAATGAAACAAATCAACTGTTGGTTATACTGAAAAACAAATTATTCTCCGTAAAAGTGGAAAATTAATCATAATGAATCTATGTATCAGTGTTGAAGCGCTTACAGTGAAATTCATTAAATTGTTATAAAAATTGTTTTGCTATTGATTTTCGTAAAATATCGCTCATATTAATTTTATCTTACAAACAGACTGGTGGAGCGAACAATGATGTTAGAAGGGATTGTTTGATGGACAGAATAAGACTACCTCCAGGTTTTCCTACAAACAATTTAGAAAGATGTTTTGGGGATTTATGTAACAATAAGAAATCAACCAAAGAAATTGGTAAGAAAAAAACAGGTTTATTTAAAAAGCACAACACAAAGTGCCTTTTTGTTACAAACTAAGATCTGTTACAGGCGTATTGATAACTAGGGAGCAGTCTGATAAATCTTTAAGTAGGACGTGTCAATTGAATATTTCTTTGTGAATTTCAACGGATTTCTAATTCGAGTTGTTTCCTAAAGATATCTATCTACAACACTTGGAACTTAAATTTAGCTGAAATTCATTTTTTGGAGAGAGAGACATAAATTCTTAACTGACGACAGTTTTCTTCTTCTGGTTAGCTTAGGTTTTCGCGTCCCGCAATAGCAGAAGATTTCATTTTACAGTATGACACAGATATATTTAAATCTTTTCTCATTCAGCTGAATAAACGCTACACTATTTTATTATTATTATTATTGTATCCTTTAATTCCTAGAGAAACATAGGGCTTCATCAGCGCGTCTCCATTGCCTTCTGTTTTCTGCCAACTTTTTCAAGTGTGTCCACATGCTTCCATCTCCTCTTCACATCACCTTCTCCAAGTCACCCTTGCACTGATGACCAACTCGCCGCGTCCCTTTCAATCGGGTTCCACTCGAACGATGTCACTTCATGGTTTCTTCAGAATATGGCCAATCCATCACCATTTCTTCCAGCTTATTTGTTGCACAATTGGTTCTTGCTGGGTTAGTTCGCTCCCAGAGATCCCTGTTACTGATCTTTTCTGGACATCTGATCTTGAATATTGAATGAAGGCAGTTGTTGATAAAGGTCTGTAATTTGTTTGAGGTGCTACTCATGACGCGCCAGGTCTCTGGTCCGTATTGTAGCACTGACTGACTTTGCATTGGAGTTGAAAATCCGGATCTTATTTTGCATGCTGAATGCTGTTGACCTCCACGTAGACTTAAGAGTAATGAAAGCTTGTCTTGCTTTTCCGATTCTTGCTTTGATATCCTCATCAGTTTCGCCTGTAGTTGAAACGATGCTTCCTTGGTCGGTAGGTAAAGTAGGTTGTTTCTTTCAGGTTCCTCCCATTTACGCTGGCTGATTGATGTCTGCTGTTATTGATGTTGGCCACGAATCTTCATCACCTCTGTTTTTTCTACGTTCACCTGAAGTCCCATCTTCTCTGGATGCTTCTTTTGCCAGCTTGTTGCTTTTCACTTGGATATCTTCCAGTTTGTGGGAAATCAGACAGATTTTATCGGCAAAGTCCAGATCCTCCAAGTTTTTTTGTGTGGGTCCATTTTATGCCCGTTCCCTCGTTGGTTGCCGTTTTGTGTCACATTATCCAATCTACTGCAGTCAGGAAAATCATTGGCAATAGTAGGCAGCCTTGTCTTACTTCCGTCTTCACTTTGAAGGCTTCCGTAAGTTTCCCGTTGTGGATTATTGGCAGCAACGTCACAGTACTACGGGAAAATCTCAAGTGATCTTCGGATAGGTTTTCATCAGAATCGTTCACTGAAATTCAGAGTAAATGTATCTCTCTGATGGTCGCTTCTGAGGCATTCATTGGTAATGATACAGTTAACATGCCTTAAAGAACCAGTCATAAGCTTTTAGATTGAATGACTCCGAGGAGGTTAGTAATTTAGAGAAAATACGCAGCAGTCGCATTGCATGCATTAACACACAATCGCAGAGTAGGGTGGGGCACAGTCAAAATTCGAAAACGTAATATGGGCAGTTGGGGACAGAAAGTGATTACTGAATCCCTTTTCATAGAATTAACACCCAATATACGCAATAAGAATAACTCGTCGTGAATACCAGAGATATAGAAAATACTACTACCAGCCAAATCAAGCGATGAAAACTAATGGAATTGCATAAGCCAAATCAAATAGTTGTGTGAGTTGTGTTATATGATTACGAATAATAAACAGTCCTAGAAACATCACAATAAATATTGCTATATAGCACTGTGGGAGTTTATCAAAATAAAAATTCCTCTATAACAGGGTTATTTTAGCTATATGTCCAGGAAAAGGTTTGAATTATGCAATATTAAATCATCTGTCAAAGAAATGCTGACTGAATTAACTGAATACTGAATATTTGTGCATATAAGTAGTTGAAAGTGACATTGTTGCTATGCAGATTACACTACTCAGGTAATTTTAATAATGCTGCTTAAATTGAATGAGTCGACCTGTGATTCTTATTGAGTACAAAATAACAACACTCAGAGGAACTATTTAAAATAGTGAGAAGTGATCGTCAATGAAACTGAATGTGAAGAAGGCCCCCTGAAAAATAAGTCCCTTAATATGAAGCTTCTAGGAGAAATAGGATTTTATCTTATCATAAATAATATATGATATAAAATATATGAATGGTATAACAATTTTGATATCTTTGAATAAAAAGGATTAACATTTATACTTTTCTTTCTACTGCTAACTTTTGGATTCATTTAAAAGACGGCGCTGTCAGATGCTATGTTTGTCGGCATTGTACAACTGGCAATACATTTATTGAAAATGTCTGTGGTGCTTGTGGGGTAAGACCTGTCACTGATCAATAATTAGTAATAATAACAGTCATTTTGTTAAAAAAATTGACTTTTTAAACAGACTGGTATTTTCATATTGCCTAAATCTTCTCTGTTTTTACAAATCTGCAGTTGACTGATTTCTGTCTTCAGTTTTCATTGCTCGTAGCCATGCATTATAAAAATATTTACTCTCAAATTCGTTAAGGTGTACCAAATAGCGTTAGATTGGAATCTTTGTTAAAAGGCTTGAATGGAAAAATAGTGTAAATTGTAAGCATATCTTATCAGAAGTCAATTAGTGGTTGGAATCCAGGATACGCATTTCGTCCTATTGGGGAATCATCATCTGGACGCACTTGTATTATGCAATCAGTGCATCTTATATTGTTTAAAATAGAAATAGATGCTGGAATTCAAAGCAATGTTTGTGTTTGTAATGGAATTGGATATTTCGGTAGTCCAAAGTTCATGAAGGCAAGAGAATAGTCTCTTCAGACTGAAAATAAAACTTTATTTTACTACGCGAAAACTCGCAGATACAATATCTTAAATATTTGTCTACCATACAAGTGTAATATATTTGTTTAAGTGAATTTTTATCTAGAAATGATGGAGAATTTTTAGAAGCCAGCCTGGTATTCCAGTGAATCATCAATCAATATACACATTGAGATAGACAAAATTTATCAACCGATAAGAAAGAATTTCACACACAAAGGATCAAAGTTCAAGTCAAGGAAACAATCACTTCCAACACAGGTAGCCTAGAGGGCGTGAAAGCACACAAAAACAACCAATCACGTTTAAGGTCACCAGGAGAGATGACTAATAAACTCGTGAAGAAATCAAAAAGCTCACTTCAAATCAAATTGAAGTATGCGCTGAAGATGTTGCCTAGTTGGGCAATGAAAGCTTCGCAAATCAACTATCCAGCTTAGAGAACATAACTACATCAAAGATGAATTTTTATCTTCCCACTGATTAATTCTACCGAAGTGTCAACAGAGGCCAACAATTTTGATAGGATCGGTGAGAGGGAAAATTCATCCAAACAAATAATAATGCTAACGGATACCCACTACATAAAAGATACTTCCCGTGGCTCAAGTGGTCTAGTGGGTAACGCGTCGAATTTGAGATGATGGGTGCTGGGTTTGAGTCCTGGCAGGGGCACCATTATCCATTGGGGACTGTAGGTACATCCAGTTGACGAGTCCCAAATACGTTTAAATGCGCATGCTAGATTCCGCTGCTAGTCACCATCCACCAAAGTATGCTTTGAGTATAATATAGACAGTTCCATTCGTATGCGTTAACTTTCTGCAACATAAACACTAAGCAAATAATGTTGAAGTCAAGTATAGTAAATGCATAAGTTTGTCTGAATTTGAAAATAAATGTGAATAAGTCATATGATAATCATTGTAGATGTACTCGTGTGATATTAAACAGAAAGCTATAAAGGTTGAAAACAATCTGATATGAATGAATTCGATCATAAAATGAATGTCTACTGATCTAAACTGTATAATTGTCGAATAAATTATCTGCCGTATTTTGGTTATGAGATATAGATATCAGTAGCTGCAGAAGATGCAGTGAAAACAGCAATTGAAGTGAAGACAGAGGAGACAAAGATACCTGACCAACAACAACAACAACAACAAGAACTTTTTCTGAATAACAAATTAAAACTGTGGTTTAAAATTTCTGAACACTAGTGTTTTAATAAATTGTATAGTTACCTGAATCAATTTGAATGTCATCTCCAGTATTGCTTTGCAAACAAGTGCTTTAAGCATATTTTACTGAGTAATGAATTTGATATCTATGTGACTAGTAGAGTGTTGACATTTTATATTATTGGATTGATCAGCTGATGAGTGAATTACCCAGTGAAACATCACTGACGGGATTTGGCAGCACACTTGATTTTATATCGAAGTCGCTTTGGTTTATTTCTTACTCTATTTTTCATCACAAGCTGACGTCAGTTAGAGGACCACCGGAAAACCACCTGGTAGTACTGGACAGCTGTTTCGTCCTAGTTTGGGACTCTTCATCGACATGCACCAACTGGGGTTCGAACCCGGCACATTCCAGTTACAAGACGAGCGTGTAAGGCATTAAGCCACTGGGATGGAATCAGATGGTTAGCCTGTAAATTCCAACTTCTGCCAATTCAAGATATATATCGCGACCACTAACCAGGATCATCGCTGGTGAATAATTGTCGTCATACCCGAACTGCTATATTCCACTGGTCACGAATTCTCACTAGAACTCAGGTATCTGGCTACCTGAATAGACCCAGCTGCTAGTGAACATCAGACTGATGCTAGTAAAACAAAAAACAGAGCGCCACTGCTACTAAAACTTTTTAAGCTCATAGCTGCAAGCCCTATGTTGCAGTTGAAACGCAAAGGAATAAAATACACAATAATAAATAAAGTTCGATTGCTACTCACTCAGGTAAATTAAAATATCAAATAATGATTTCCACTTTGTTTCCAAGTTTTCTTCTTTTATTTTCTTTTTTAAGACTCGTACAGAATCAGGAGTCACAAATAAATACTGTCTGAATAGTTGTCTTGATATCACAATCACTGATGGATCGACCTGTTGTACAACAGATCTGTGTAATGGAAAGACAAGGCTACACATTCAAAAAAGCGCAATTCTGTTGCTTATTATTCTCACAGGACTGAGTGGATACTTTCTTTAGACCAGTAAAAACACAAAGAAAAATAATAATTGACACTGAGTAATGAAAACTGATCTGCGATCACTTTTTGTTAATTCAAGCGACTATTTTGACTGTACTGAAATCTGAAACATTTACAGCTCTCTATTTGTTTTACACTCAATTTCTTTTAATTATTTGAACGTTTTGAACTCATGAAGTGAAAATACTTCATCTTTTTTTTCAGATAAGCCAGTGTATAAACGTTTTATGATGTGACAGTACAATACTGGCGATATATTTCGTATTTTATTGATGAATATTTATTTAGTTGAATCATTTCTATTTTTTACATGAGGACTTTTTATGTTAGTGTTTGTCATTAAAGGATGCAACCAGCAGAATTTGAGAATAAAGTAAAATTAAAAAACTAAATGTTCTTGTTTTCATTCATTTTATGTGTATGCATATTTTTATATATATTATTCCCTTAGGTTGCAAGTGGAATACAGAGCTTCATTAGTACATCTACATTTTACTCTTCTCTCTACAGTGCTGGCTGGATATCTGCACGATTACCGACAAGCTGTCACTTCTCCTCACACAATCTTCTTCCTCCATGTCATTCTCAGATGCTTTACTTACCATTTGTATCATTGATATAAGAATAAAACTTGTACACTGTGGTAGAGCGTAATTCCATTATGCGTAAATTTTGTTTTGATAACGTCTCACAGTGTTATACAGTAATGTTTACTCTAGATTCTTGACACACGTAAACTCACTAGTGGAGGGAATAAAATTCACATTTGAAGAGAAAAATGAACAAGGAGAATTAGTCATAATGTTAGATTGTAAAACAAAATGAATAGAAGAAGGTAAACTGCTCACTAGCGTTTATAAAAAACCAACGCATTCTAATAGATATTTAGACTTTCATTCATCTCATCCGTTAACTCCTTAGGCAGGCTTAGTTAACTGTTTAACAAACCGAGCAGCAGCACTAAGTAGTACAACAAAAAACCTAAATGATGAAATCAAACAGATAGAAGAGGCGTTGGTGTTAAATAACTATCCTTTAAGATTCATTAGGAAGATTGAAAAAGGCCAAAAAAAGAAAAATAATTGTGAAACTAGTAATAATAACATAAATAAGAGAGAATATAAGCCATCCACTGTTATACCATATAAGGAGGGGACATCTGAGACCCTACGTAGGATTCTAAATAAAGCAGGAATTAGGTCGGCATTTAAACCTACAAACTCACTTAGAGACAAGCTGTTTAGACTAAAAGACCCAGTGGACCCATTTAGACAAAATAACACAATTTACAAAATACCCTGCAATGACTGTGAGTTAAGTCAACTACATAGGTCAAACTAGTAGATTGGGGTAATCAGATTGTCGGAGCATAAGAATTTAGCTAAAGTAAGACTGGTTGACCAGGAGAAAATAAGGAATTTAGAAAAAAGCTCAGAAATCACACTGCATGCACTAACAACACACAATCACACAATAGGGTGGGAGAGGGTCAAAATTCTAAAAAGTTATCTAGGTAGGTGGAGAGAGAGATTGATTACTGAATCCTTGTTCATCGAGTCTACACCCAACACATGCAATAAGAATGATTCATCACTCATACCCGAAATATGGAGAATACTACTACCAATCAAATCAAGTGAAAAACAACGGAACTATATAAATGAAGTTAGGAAGTCGTGTCAGTACCTTGAAATGATTATGAGCAATGAATTTTGCTTGAAACTTCATCAGTAAACATTACTGTATAACACTGTGAAACTTTATCAAAAACAAAACTTACCCATAATGGAATTACTTACCACTTCCCATGAAGATTTTAGTCGAGATTACTCATGCGTCTCCTTAATGTGTGCCCGACCCATGTCCTTTTGTTTTTGTATATTTGTTAGGAATAAGGGGTCTAGGTTTATTCGTTCCCGAAGTTCCTTGCTGCTTATTTTATCTATGATCACTTTACCTTGAGTATCATTCCCGATGAATAACGCAAACGGATTCCACTAGCTAAAGAAATTATCAGCTGAAGCTGTTGATATTGTATCAGATGTCTAACTCCACTGTTATCTCAAAGATTATTTTAACGTTGTATTCTTCGATTTGAGAAGCGATATTTCCACATGACTTGACTAACATAGTAACTATCGTATCATATATAATATGACAGGTTTGCTTATCATATCACAATACATCATCAGCTGAATTCCTTAAGTGAATAGTCTCATCAACCATTAATACAAATGTACTCATGAAGTAAAAAGCATTGTAAAAGAATAATATGTCACGCAAAATAATGATTGATTGGTTGATGGAATGATAATTGGGAATTTTCTCATTAACCAAGATACGGTGGTGAGGGTTCGCCCTCGAATGACGACACTACACTCTATTTGACCAGATTTTACGCATCTTACAGCGATCCTGCCTTTAAGTTGGCTAAATATCATCCCAGTTATAAATATCCCTATTCTTAAAGTGAAAGTATGAGAATATTCTACCTTAATGAAGTATTGGTTTGTTCGGATTTGATTGATTGGTTACAGGATTTCATCACGAGCTGACATTGGTTAGAGAACTATTGAAAACCCCCCGGGAGTACTGCACGGCCGTTTATCCTCAGTTTGGGACTCTTCAATAATACGCATCCACCGGGGTTTGAATCCAGGTCCTTCCGTTTACAAGGCCAGCTAGCTCTTAGACCATTAAACCACTGAAAGCCGACTCAATGGACTATGCATTCTAACTTTCTGCCAATTCATGATAAAGCGCTACCACTAGCTAGTGTCTTCCGCGAGTATTTGTCCTTACACCCGACCTGCTGTACTATACTGGTCACCCCTTCCCACTAGAATCCGGGTAACTACCTACCTGAATAGGGCCAGCCGCCAGTGAGCGTATTCTACCTTGTTGAAAGTAATCATGACAGATGCATTTATGATAGATAAATATGTGAAAAGTATACTGACTACAAATGAGGTTCAAGGCTGTATTGAGATCCAACTGACTTGAATAGGAGAATGAGACGAATCTAACCGTGTTACATCAAACTTTTAATCCAAACCTGTGTCAAACTGAGTTTGCAAAACTCCCTGGTATATATTTGATACAGTCGTGAACACTTGAAAACAATAAGTCATTTGGTGTTTTACAGTGTTGCAATTTTATTATTCTCCTTAATTGTAAACAAAAGTCAGAAACTATCATCTTGATGTTATTGCTTTCCCAAAGCTAACTGCTCTAATTGTGAAGCTTTCAGTTTCTTTCTAGACACCATCTTGGATGTAGAATTTATTACCGAAGTCGGGCAAGGAAACATAACTTCAAAGGAATTAGAAGAATCTTGAAGTCACACAAATGCAGACAAATACAGTAACACATGCATTAGTTGAATTTCAGAATAGAACAGCATGTCAGGGAAACTAGTGAATACATTTTAAAACTTAGAGTTTTACGTCATCTAACCATGGTGTGCTTGCAGTTCTTGGTGTTCGTGTGGACTATCAGTCAAGTTTAGGATTAGTTTGACATCAGTTGCAACCTAGTTTTCAATCAGAGTATGTTTTGCCAGAATATCTCAGTGATAATCTCTCTGTCTGTAGCAGTATGTGGCACAGATTCGAATCTCAGAAGAAAGTTCCCTTTAGACTGGAGACTCACCTTGCTGACGACTACTACCAAGAATTACGAAACCTAAGTCCAAGGCTTCTTTCAACCATCTAAAAATATTAGGTGATGAATATACCTTAGAAATGATAACTATTGAGACAGGAATCAGTTGAGAAAGCGAATATTTTTCATAAGAGTAAGAAATTCAGAAGTCTGAAGGAAGAGAAGTAAGAAAAACGATTGAGTATGGATTGGATACTAAATTATTTTATAAATTAAAAACGCTCTAATGCCATGATAGCAAAACGGATCAGAAAAAAAACGGCTGTATGTATACAGTTCAAGATTTTTTTTTGTGTGTAGCATGAGATTCCACGGTGGACAGAAAATGCAGCCGGAAATTCTCTGAACAACTTGGCCGTGCAATGTAAATCCCTTTGGAAAATTTTTTCTATTGATGCAGAATGATATAAATGAATAAGGTGGTCAAGCACTGAGCTATTGTTTTGTATAATTCAACCATCCAACAACAGTAATATTGAAAAATATTTTTCTTGCATGTCTAGACAGTATCTTACTAGTAGGGCTTGCCAACTTAGCTCCAAAGCAGCAAGTGAACTGATATGTACACATGAATATAGGAGATAAACTATTGCATATATAAGAACATACGGGATATAAGAGACAGTTGTTTGAAAACGCCAAATGACATGTTAACTATGCAATATGCCAGTGAAATAGAAAAACATATTTTACTGTTTTGTAACTGCTGTTTAATATACACAAATTCTAGTATCTGGAGTCGTATAATAACGATAATATACATATATATATATATATGATAGAGAAGATTTGTAGCTCAGGTGGATGATTTTGATGTGGTTGTGCTCTCCGAGCTGGATAGTTAATTTGCGACGCTTTCATCGCCCTACTAGGCGACATCTTCAGCGCATACTTCAATTTGAAGTGAGCTTTTAGATTTCTCCCCGAGTTTATTATTCATCTCCCCTGGTGACCTTGGAAGTGATTGGTTGTTTTTGTGTGTTTTCACATCTTCTAGGCTACCTGTATTATAATTGATTGTTTCTTTGACTTCAACTTTGACCCTATGTGTGTGAGATTTCTTTTTTATCAGTGGAGAAATCTAAAAGCTCACTTCAAATCAAACTGAAGTATGAGCTGAAGATGTCGCCTAGTAGGGCGATGAAAGCTTCGTAAATTAACTATCCAGCTCAGCGAACACAACCACATCAATATATATATATATATATATATACGATATATAACTTCAACTTTCGTAGATGACATATGTCAACTGTCAAAAAAGCTCGAAGACTTATAGGTGAAAATCAATAAAATGCTAGAGGAGGCAAATAGGCAGCGAAGACAGGATTCAAGGTGAACATTGAGAAGACGAAGTTGATGAAGATCAATACCAACCAACCAACCACCTATAACAGCACCAACAACAAACAGCACTAATCATCATCAAGGGAGAAATTTGACAAAGGTAACTTCTTTCAGTTAACTGGTCAGGGAGCACAGTTTCAACCACAGGTCGGCGGAATCGTTGAAGATGTCAAATCTAGCCAACCAACCAGAATCGCAAATGCAAGATACACTTTCATCAACCTGAAACCAGTTTGGAAATCTTCTGCACTGCACTCAGCCAGCCAGCTAGCATAGACAACAAGACAACACAAATGTAAAGTCAGTCAGTTCTTCAATACGGGTCCGAAACTCGGACTACGTGTCACGAAAAAGATTTCAAATAGGTTGCAGACTATCATCAACAGCTGTCTTCGCCGGCTCCATATTGAAGATCAAATGGGCAGCTAGCCGGCCAGAAATAATCGGCAACAAGAACCTCTGGCGATGAACAAACCAACCAAAAGCTGATCGCTCAACAAATATGTAGGAGGAAATGGAGGTGGATTGGGCACACGCTGAGGAGACTGTCGAATGACATCAAGAGCAACGCAGGTTATCGGTAGAGTGGGATTCAAATGAGAAACGACAAGTGTGTCGTCAATACGAGGGTGACATGAGGGAGACCTTTTGGGGAGGAGGAGATGAGAGATTATAGGCGATCGTGTACGCAGCTAAAACGGGTTGCATCAAACAGTAGAAAGAGAAGAGGTGCTGTTGAATTCCTATTTTTCACTTGGAACCCGAGAGGAATAATGATACTGATATATTGGAATATCTGACTTGTGATAAGATTTATAGACCTTCAAAGTATAAACGAACAGAAGAAGAGCACTGGACTTTCTGAAAAGACATTTTAAGGAACCAACATGTTGTACACTTTGTAGCTACATCAACAGAAAAACACACTGCGACTCGTTTGCACTGGTATTCACACAAAAGAACTTCATCCAAAACTAATTTGTGATATCTTTTATTCAAGAGGTTCTTTTCCATGACGAATAAAGAAATTTTAAGTAAAAGTCTACCTTACAGTATTTGCAAAATTGTCCAAGTAGTGCTATTGGAAATATCTAAAACACTATAGAAGACATATTACTTCTGAGAATGGATGTCTAAAAGACATGTATTCACTAATTTCCGGCTTTTAAATCCCTCTTAATCGAAATATTTCATATCAGAAATAAAAGATAGTTGTTTTATGTCTTCTTCTTGTTAAAAATGCATCAGGAAGACGCACGAGTAACTGTAAAAGCTAGTCTTTTCGTTGAGATTTAAATGTATGACACTCTTCATAGAAGTTTGTAACTCTGTCGTTTGGACATGATCGTCAACAGGTCTCAGTTAACACATTAAGAACTAGATGAATTCTCTAATTACCAAATGGCAATCCATCTACAATATTATGAGGTGCAAGTGAAAATATTCAATCAAATTAAAATAAGCATTAGTCAATATATTAGCGAAATCTATTTCTAATTAGTTCGGTAAACTTCTCATCTTGAACTACCTCCCACTTGAACGCCTAAATTGACTGTACTCTTTCACTTTATACATACTATTAATAGGCTTAACTTTATGCTACTAAAATAGTAATCTGTTGTTCTTACAAAACTCAGGTAAAAAAAAACCTATCTTAGATACACGTAAAAAACAACAATAAATCATGTGAAGAAATATATTTCTTTCCAATTGGTTCTTCATGAATACCTATACGCTTATGACGGGGTTTCAAAGTAATATAATAAGATGAAACCAGTTATGTGGTGATGCATCAACGCACAAGAAATATTAATTTTCAGATACAGGAGGGGTGAAAATAACTAGGTGAATTGAGACCAGTAGTTAATTTATAGTATCTAGTGGCAACTTATTTAGCAATCGATAATTTCTAAGATGATGAAAATTAAGAAGGATGGAGGGGGGGGGGTAAATTAGTTAGCAATTACGTATGGAAGGCAAGACGCAGGAGGCCATTCAGGTAAGCCAGAATAGTAGTGATATTAATAGTAAAATAACAATACTATCAACTAATAAGAAGTTGTGCGTCTGTGGCATAACGGTTAGGACGCTCGCCGACCATGCACATGGTCCGGAGTTCGATCCACGGTCGACGCACTCCTTTACCTCGCTAAGCCAGAAATAATGCTGGTAAAGAGGAAAGATTGGGCATAAGGCTAGCAACCCTATCCTGTAAAAATAAACACTGCTAGAGAAACTCCAAACCTCCAGCTTGGAGCCCTATGTTCCACTGGGAACGTGAAGGAAAAATTATTACTAATTATTATTAATTAAGGGATAAGAAGTTAATTGGTGTTTGGTGACTAGCAATGGAATCTAGGATGCGCATCTCGTCCTATTCGAGACTCGTCAGCTGGATGTACCTGCATTCCTCAGTAAGTGATGGTGTTCCCGTCCAGTTGACGAGTCCCAAATAGGACGAAATGTGCATCCTGGATTTCACTGCTAGTCATCATCCACCAATGAACTTCTAATTACATGCTTAGACGTAGACGAAGCATCTGCACAAGAAGGCAGCTCGTGAACCTGAGACCGAGCACTTCGGTCCAATCAATCGACGGGAAAATCTAAAATTAAATTATATTATCAATTATTAGTTGCAAGAATAGGGGAAATGATCATCTGTGGGACCCTGTACATATTATGTCGATGACTACTGCAAAGAGAAAGCCTCTGCTTATCCCTTTATTCGTTCATTTCGTTAACCAAAAATCGGGATATTTTTACACTCAATGACGGACTTAGTTAATTGTAAACCCAATGTGACTGATTGCATAGGAGCAGTCCACCTGGTAGAAACAAATGAAAGAGTCAAAATGTAGGCCATTTGTTTTTATTTCACAAAATTAATATTAGTTCTAATGGTGAATAAAAAGCTTAACCTGATCCTTCCAAAAGCTCTTCTTAAACATTGTGATGCAGTCCCACGGATAATGTCTATGACGAACATCCCTCTTAGAAATTATAGGTATTATGGATTTAGCTTTTGCGAAACTCAAAGACAGAAATGGAAAACCAGGGAACATGAAGTGAATTTTCTACACTCACTCTAAATAATTAACTGTTTCTGTACCTCTCAACAATATGGCTCGTCACCAGAAACGTTGCTGACGGGTTGGAGACTGTCATTAACGGCTGCCTTTGCTGCCTGCATAGTGAAGATCAAATGACCAGAAAAGATGAGTGACGAGGAACTTTGGTAATGCAGTGAGCCAAACCAAGAACCCATCACCCAATAAATATACCAACGGAAATGGATGTGGATTAGGCATATGCTTTAAAGACCCTTGAATAACACCATGCCCCAGACCGTTGGGTGGAACCCAAGTGTGAAATGATGACTTGAGCGCCTGATGATGATATGGTGAAGATCGTGTAAGGAAGAGAGAGAAGTCTATGGGCGACCATAGAGCCACCTTACACAGACTTCAGGAAATGGACTGAAATGGAAGAGAACCGCTGAGGCCCTTAATTCTACTCGGAAATTCAGTGAATAATAATTAAAAATCTCATATTTATTTTAGTTTTGGATTTTGCCATCGATTGATTGGACCGAAGTGCTCGGTCTCAGGTTCACGAGCTGGCTTCTTGTGCAGATGCTTCGACGACGTCTAAGCATGTAATTAGAAGTTCATTGGTGGATGGTGACTAGCAGTGAAATCCAGGATGCACATTTCGTCCTATTTGGGACTCGTCAACTGGATGGGACCTTCATCACTGGTACATCCAGCTGACGAGTCTCGAATAGGCCGTGGTGGCCATCCTGGATTCTACTGCTAGTCACCATCCACCAGATAACTTCAAAAATCTCGTATGTTTTCTCAAAACTTCAGAGTATATCCTCCTAAGTAGGTCACGATTATTACAGAGGTTTTTGCTGAGCATCTCGTCTGAACGAATAACTCTTGCACCTTGAAGTAAATGTTTAATCAGATTTTGTGTCTATTGTAGAAGAAAAAAATTTAAAATGTGGATATACTACTGAGAATACGTTTGTTTCAGGTGTTCGTTGCCACTGTTTTCGTCATCAAAACATCCATTGAAATGAGAAAAAGTGTTTGTTTTCTAAATCTTTGGTAAAAATTACATTCCGATGAAGCTTCTCAAAGTTTATTATATACTTCCTACCACTGATTTCTTTTATTATAAATATAAGCGTATCATCTACGATAAGCCAACTGATATCCAGATAAATCACCACATCTTTCACAGGACTGTTCTCCAGTTTCTCCTGGAAAAGATCCGGTAGCTTTCAATTCAATAGTGAACCAACAGCAACAGTCTGACCGCTTGACAGGTGTACACCGTTCATCCCAAAAGATGCTCCATTAAAGTAGACACAAGAATACTAACCTCTGAATCTTCATTTGTTAATTCATTACATATTTAATCTATTGTATCCATCATAGGCACATTATTAACATATTCCAGAAATTCATAAACCTAACCTTCACTTTAAAATCTCTAACTTCTTCCACAAACTCAACTGTTTTTCTTTTCATTGCAGAAGCTGTACTGACCTTTTCTAAGATGCTTAGTGTTTTAGTTCAAGTGGTGCGCCATTTTTAGGAACTTTTGGCAGACACAGTTACATTACCAAAAGGTTTTAGTATTTCATACAAATTAATTGAGATGTAACCTTACTGTCTCATTTGTTTTCTGCATTCTGTTTGATTTTGCACAACGAACACATGTGTGGGTTTACATAAAGCTTCAATCACTGCAAAACTCTTCCTCTAATGGCATAAGGCGGCTAGATTTATTGATATTTAGTTACATGGGTGTCTTGTTCATTAGTTTTAATAACAACACCACCGACGTATGAGAAGAGCTTACACATGCAGAGCTTTATAATCTATGGAAAATGTTTACAAATAAACTGACAATTAAAGATGGCATGTTTACTATGCTAAATTAATGCGGATTTGAATGTTTTCATTGCTCAATAAGAGCTATTAAACTATGTGAAACACTGTAAAACGCATCTTTCATTCCTAGGGTGTCTGTATCATATAAGTGCTGCTATGCTACAGAATCATGCAACAGTCAGTGCAACTTAACATTTACCCAGTGTCAATTATTCATAAAATTAAATTACTAATTAATTAATTAAAATCACTTATTTTCGATTTTTATTATTAATCCGTCTTTTATAATTTCTAAAATATATATATATATTTTACATTCTACGTTTGCGTATAGAGTGAAACTGACAGACTTAATTAAGATTTCATTGGTTTATCGTTGCGTATTAAGAAGTATGCCAACATTGTGCTTATATGTCTTTCATGCAAAAAAAATGCTCAATTTAGTTTTATGCAAGCTTATAGTAGTCAAGACTTCATTGAGTTATGATGAGTATAATATATTTAAAATACTTTGCAATTCTTCTATTCTTCCTAGTCAATATATGTAAGTATTAAAGCAATCATAAAGTAAAAATTTTAATGTGTTGAATGTATTTGATGAGTATGTCAGTTATTTTCTCTTTAGAGAGTGAGTAAATGTCTATTTTTGTTAATCTAATTCGCTGTGTATAGAACTGTAAGTCTTAATTAGCTCTTAACTGAATGTTCTTCACATGCTTACACACACACATTCACGCCTACCTATCGTACTCATCCGAGTTATCGTTATGTCAACTACAGGTTACAAAAATATATATAACTGTAGAGCCAGAAGAGGAATTCGCACATGACAGTTGATCCTTTTATGCCATTTTAGGTAGTCGAGTACGAAAAAATTGATGATGTACAGGATAGTGGAGTTATTATGATGGATTCAGATAAATCATATAAATTGCCTATTGCTGCAACATTCCCACCACATTGTAATGCTGCACAATCATTGATATGGTATCCGAAAGATCCACATAAACCAGCACGTATACTCATTCTACCTAAACAGATAATTGTACCATGGGAAGAATGGGTTCATGAGATATATGCTAGGTTCAAATATCAGAGTTCGTAAAGCTAATGAAGTTTCTGAGATTGATGATAGTATAATTTCTGCTGAATACTTTTAAATAATTAATTTGTAAACAAATTACCAATAAAAGGTTGGGGAGAAATGTAATGATATCTACAAGGAAAGTATCAATAATTAATATACTTTATGCTTATCTGCATGAAATTTTGTAATTACATTTGAGTTATCCCCATTATTACCATTGCTAATATTAACTATTGAAACTGGATTAAAAATATCACAATGAAATATTCGCTTAAAGCACTAAACTGATGTACGACTTTCCAGTGTTTACACAATTGTTAGCAAGTTTAAATCAAATCAACAAGGGAACAGAAAGTGAAAAGTAGGGGGATTTTACAAATACATTAAGACTTATTATGGACCAAGGGATTTCTTCTACTGCATAATCTATGAGACGCTTTAATAATAATAATAATAACTTTGACTGTAAATTTCTATCTTATTCAAGTGGTCATCATTTGTGATAAATACAGAAACTATCTTGAAAAAAACAGCTTGCTATTTGGTGCAATCGAAAATCGATAGATATTCTTCTCATGTTACCTCCAACTGTATTTACAAATTTATATGTATTTGTGGGAGCAGTTACATTGGAAGGACAGAAAGAAGGGCATATCTACGATTTTCTCAACGTGTACCAAAAAGCTTACTTCTAAATGGAACAAATGCTTTAAACAGTACCATCGCCAGGCATCTCCTCGACACGGGTCATGAGGTGGATGTCGAAAAGTCGTTCAAAATTATCAGTAGAGAAAAAGAGCTCAATTCTCCTTAAGTTTGCTGAAGCGATTTCCATCAAGCACCTGAAACCTGATTTATGCATCCAGAAAGAAGCGGTTATCAGTCTTTCTTTGCCCTGGTAACTGGATAATTTCACCTCTCTTTTTTCTTCCGAATGCAAAATGCTAAAAGTTTCTATTGTGTATGATCTTTATTGTTCGGAATAGTGGTTAATATTGCATATTTATATATGTATATATATGTATACTGATCGATTGATTTTTCTGCTTAAAATGAACTCTGTGCAAGTATGTCAAAATTGTTTCTGGAGATATATTTAATAATGTCTTTGCCATGTAAGCAGCTGAGGAGAAGGCAACGAAATAAAAGATGGTACCATTTTATTCTGCTAAAACTGTAGTTCTTGCTTTGTTCAAACTACAGGTTAGTCTGCTTGGATAATATTCCGCCTAACATCACAGTGGAACACAAAGACAGAAACTTTTTAATGAAATCACCTTAGCATTACTGTATTCTATAATGCCTTTTATTGCGTAATTCACCTTTTTAGTCAATAGGCGCTCAGTGTTTCGTGACACTGACTATTCTATGTGTTTCACTTATTACTTGTAACCTAAGCCTATCCGTGGAATTCCAGTGTTAGCGAAAAAATTATGAAATTTTCCAAATTTGAACTTGGCTACTTTGAATTAAATTATAATTTGTAGGTCGCTAATTTGATGTATTTCCCAAATTTTTATTACGACCGACTGTTTTTTAAGGTATATTGAAGGAAATCTCAGACAAAATTGGAAATATATAGATTAGCACATCATGACTATCTGTGCTAATGAGGATCATGATGATAAAATTGTACAACTGAAAGGATCTCAATTAATATGACAGCTAGATTACACACTACAACCACTTGTGTAGAATAAATGTCGACTGAAGTGACAATAAAGCATAAAATGTATTTAAGATGAATGACTCTCTTTCCTATTTGAACTTTCTAACAGGTCATTCTACTTGTTTCAAAAGATATTAAACTTTTTCATTCAATGAATAATGCAGAACAAAGTGAAAATGACAGGTAGTTTGATGAAAGTTTTGCAATTTGTTGAAGTGACAGGAGATATCTCATAAAATACAACAAATCATTTTTTGTAATTTATAAGAATATAGTTGAGGAATTAGTCAATTTTCAGAAGCTCTTAAGAAACACATTCTAATAAGCTGCTTGTATGAAATAAGCGAACTATTAAGACACAATTTTGATACTATTGGACTTAATGTATTATTTTGATAGCGTTATTAGAAGACGGGGGCTTAAGTTTATGAATAGCTATAGCCTCAGCGTATTTCAGTAAACGTCCTTGACCGTTTTTATAGATGACTTTAAAGGCTGAGTTAACATTAATTTTATGGTTCATCTCGATTAGATGTTCAGCTATAGACGAAGTTGGTAGTTTGACATCTGCATCTATTGGCTTGTCACAATTCATATCTTTTTCTAACCACTTTGGGATATGCTCTCCCACCCTCACGTGCAAAGCGCGATTACTCCTCCCTATGTATGTGTGTCCACACACACACACACACGAAAATTGGTAAATTGTGTGGGATGTGACATAAACACTTGTGCACTTTTGAGGTGTGCAGCGGAGCATATTTTTAGCTTTTTCCGCAATTACAAACTGAGCTGCATAGTAGATTCTACGGATGATCGAACTCAACCATTGTTTCAAAATCCTACTGTTTATTTCCCCCTTATATGGTAATTTGATGAAAGCATTTTTCTCAAGGGGCAGTATAGATTGTAGGTTTAGAGACTAGTTGACTTCTGCACCTGTTTAAAAATTTTAAAGCATATCCGTTTTCAACAAGTGTATCCATTAACATTTCATTTTTTTGTCCATAACATCAGCCGTGCAAATACGCTGAATCCTCTTAAATAGACCCTTCACCAAGCCTTTCTTATACTGCAATGGACAGAAGCTGTGAAAATTATGGTATTGCCCTGTCCAAGTGAGCTTTCTGAAGATAGACCATCTTATTGAGCCATCATCTCTTCGACTCAGAAGTATGTCTAAAAGTGCAAGCTGGTTGCGACTTTCTTACTCGCATGTAAGACTAATATGATTCTGTACTGAGTTAAGTCTATCTAATAGACGACTCGCATCTTCATGACCGTCGCATATAAAAATGATATCACCTACATGTATCCTATACAAGGGCAATTTGGAAATTATATCAAGGAATAAGTTTTCAACATAAGACATGTAAACCTCCGCTAACAAAGGTTCTAATGGACTTTCCATAGGAACGCCAGCCACTTGTCGAAAATGTTCGCCTTCAAACGTGAAATGGACGTTGTCAATACATAATAATAGTAATAAATCTTTCAAATAAGTTAAAGGAAAAGGAAATGAAAAACAACTAGAAGATATATAGTCACACAAAGAATATCAACAGTCTTAACCAATGGTTCATTAGTAAACAAAGAATTAACATCAAATGAATACATTTTCCTATCTATTATGTTCATATCCACAAGGCAGTCAACAAGTTCAAATGTTTCTTTCATTGCACACTGGACTTAAAATATCAGCTAACCATTTTGCTAATTTATGGTTATTACTCTTAACCTACCTTGGTAATCCTTATTTGATTGGATTACCAAACGTTGTGTTAATTATTTTTAATTATTTTTTTGTCACTTTGTTTAATTTTACTTTTCCATGTATATATATTGACTTGACAATTAAATGTGTGATCAGATTGTTCGAAATGTATAGCGCAAATACATCACATCGTTTTTCAGGTAATCTCCGTCTTCTAATAACGCTGTCAAAATTTATAAAAGGGACTAATTGTTTTAACGTATTATGCAATTAATAATCAATTTTTTCATATGTATGTATCCACAGATAGATGTGAAGGTATTTCGTGTTTTGTCTGCGATTTCTGTCAAGAGGTCTTTCAGTCGACACAAAAAAAAACCGGTTGTGCCAAATGCGCTGTAAGTCGCTTAATATTATGAGATATTTCAGATATCTTGAAGAGCTTTTAGTGTTTCATAATTTCTGTTATAATCAGTTTTCTTTGATTTGTGAGTAAAATTCATTTTGATAAAGCCTCAGAGTGTTATACAGTAATACTTACTGATAACGACGTTTCAAGCACAATTTATTGCTCATTATCATATAGTAACAACAGAAGACAAGACACCAAAACTAAAGTATATTTTGCATATATCAAACCGCTGTTTATACATCTGCAGTTTATATTCGTTAACTAATCACTGAGCGTGTGATTTCGGTTTAAATTGAACGAAAAGAAATAGAATGTTCAAATGGATCGTATTCTGTTGTTAGTACTCAAATGAACTTAAGGAACATGTGAGAATAACATTCCGTTGGCACACATTGTCTGTATCACACCATCAGAATATCAACGTCTTGACATGATTATGAGCAATAATCATAATCAACAATGAAATTATACTCTACCACAGTGCACAAGTTCTATTCTTAAATCCTTTTTCGCCTTAGTGAAATATGCATAATGGTTAAATTATTCTTGAAATGATCAAATTTTCATTCTGCTGAACTCACGTAGGTGAAGTTTACCTGAAAGATCAGAAGAATTTCCCTTAGTGTATAGAGATTTTTTTCTGTATCACAACATACTAGCAACAGGCACTCATTGAATGAAGGCTTACTGGAATCTTTAGCTAAACAGTTTTTTGAATGAGCACACTTTCAGTATCGGTACCAGACTGGTTTCACTCATTTTCAGGGGATTTCAAAGCGATTCAAACGTATGTGACTCCAACTAATTACCAAAGATTTCATGGAAGGATACTAGGTTTTCGGTTTTGCTACATAACCCTATGTAGGCTAATATTACTCAGCATGCACAATAATGTGTCTTAGCCATCTCATTTGATTTACCTTCGCAATTTCATTAATTGACTTGCCCTCCTAAGTCAACATTCTACGCCTAACTTTAATATTGCTCATCATATTAGCATCGCTTAACTCTGGGGATAGAACGAAGACACGTATGGGCAAAAACAGCTAGTCTTGTCATATCTTCCAGTTTTCATAACCATGTTTTGCAGCCATAAAAGAGGATGGAATGAAATGCTTCGCACTACACACTTATTTCTGTGGATAGCCTGATATCAATGATAACCTAAAATGGGAAATGACACAGCAAGTGTTTTGTATACGTACTGAGATTTCCTCAACAGTCTATCTGCTAAGGCTGATTCAACTTCTTAAATATATGAAGGGGTCAACACACTCTACACTCATGTATACTTTTGTCAGATAACAGATTATCCAGAGTATATGACAATGAGCTTGAATAATGTACACTCCATATATAAGTATGAAGATAAAAGAGCTAACGAAAGAGTTTTTGTGATGGGAAACCACACACGAAGTGTGTTAATGTAATGTATATACTAAAAATGTAGCATTAAATATTCAGTCATCACTGTGTATCTCTTACAGAAAAATGGAAAATAATCTGACATGAGATGTGGGATATAATATTTTCTCTTTCCAGAAAAAGGTTGTTTTTCAATGTTTTGTGTTTCTGTTATTTTATTTACCACTGTTGTTCAATTACAAACTGTGAGATGTAGTCCCCTAGTTTTACATATTCTCATTTTGCTTACATATCAAAAATTATTTGGTGATTCGTATAATAATTAAAATTATAGAACTATACACAAAATCATCCTCAGTTTCTACAAATAGCTAACGCCTAATCTCACCGACATCGTCTATTACAAGCCACCGAAGTGAATGTCTGTCAAACGCTGCGATAGAATCTCCACAGGAGTATCTCCCTTCTATTGGAGACGTGAAAGCAAAGGCTTTTTCTCCACCGTTGCCAGTTCATGTTTACAATTATTGTAACCTATGTTGGCCTTAATTAACTTCTCTGCATGTCCGTTCTCGCTTAGAATGTCTCGAATGACCTGGAGTTCTTTCTCTACACAGTCTTCGAAACAAATGGACCTCGTTCGTTTGTATTTCATCCATACAAAGCTAAGGACGTGTGTGTACTGAGCTTTGATCTCTAGCTTTCTAAATATGTTTCTTTGATGGCACCATCTTCTCTTCTCATTAGTAGGACGTCGAGGAAGTGTAAAGTCGTTGTATATTTTTTCGTAGGTGAAATGGATCGCCAGCTGAGCATTACTGAAGTTGTTCAAAATCAAATCACTTCTTAACCCTTCATTTTTCGCTACAAAAGTGTCATCCATGTAACGAAAGTACATTTCCATTTTTGCTATTTTCTCTTTCAACGGACTATTTTCTAGTTTTGCTAGAAATATGTTCGCGAAAATGGGTTCTAGTGGGGATCCCACATCTTCTCCATCAAACCGTCTGTACATTTCACTATTAAACAAGAAGTGAACATTTGTTGTACATTTAACGAGTGGTTGTTTCAGATTACTGATAGTAATATCAGTGCACAATTTCTTTTCTATAATCTGTTCACAGATATAATTGATAGTTTCCACTAGAGGTACATTAGTGAATAGAGATAAAACATCAAGTTAGGCCATCTATTTGTCAGTTGCGTTCAAGTTTTTAATCTTGTCATTTAATTGAAAGGTATCCTTGATGCTGTGCTTCACTAACCCGTCATACAAGGGTTGAATTAGCTCTACCAGCCTTTTTGCCGTCTCGTGATCGGGTGAATGAGACTTGTCTGTCAAAAGAATCAAATTTTGAAAGCCAGAGACCAAAGCACAGTATACACAATTCTTTAGCTTCGTACCGATGAAATACAAATGTAATCCGATCAGGTGTTCAGCATTTAGATCGAGCTTCATTTTTTCCGAAGACTGCGTTCAGAAGGAACTCCAGGTCATCCGAGACATTCGAAGCGACAACGGATATCCAGAGAAGTTAATTAAAGCCAACATAGGTTACATTAATCGTTAACATCAACTGGCAATGGTGGAGAAAAAGCCTCTGTTTTTACGTCTCCAATTGAAGGGAGATAATCCTGCTGAGATTCTATCGTAACGTTTAACCAGGGCGATCAAGAAAACTTTTTACTCTGCACGTCTGTAAATGTCTGTCATTCTAGAACTTCTGAAGAATCGCCTAGTGCAGTGCAAAGCAAAACATATTAACACTTAGAATATAAGAACAGTATTATGGGAAGAAACCATTATTAAAGATGGCTAATTTCTACCATATAGACATTATTCTAGCTAAGCTGAGAAATGAAACGCTACATAATTGAATTGAAAAAGTCTGTTTGTGGATACCATGTACATTCTTAATGAATAAGTTCAAACACTAATTTAATTCTACCAGATAAGACCAACTATTAAATTCACATGTAAAGGAGTGTAAGAGGTAAACGGTCTTTCTTTCCAAATGTTTTCCTTTCAAGAAGATTAGATGGGTTGGTAAAGAGGTGCGGATTTTAGGTAACTGAAAAGTGTACACCTTTTTCTTATTTTCCCACTTTTAAAATATAAGAAAAATCTGATAACCACTTTGGGCTACTTAACAAGGGTTACATGTTGAAATGATGACTCTGAAGAAAGTGATAACCATGCACAATTCATTTTGAAACAGTTCTCTCAGAAATGTTTAAGGAAACTCATAGGCATGAAATAATGAGAGGATGTATCTCAGCGGCTAAAGAAAAAATTGATGCACCTAATGTGATAATAATTTTAAAACTATGAGTATCTATCTTAAAATGATACATTTCACAAATATAAAAATCGTTTCCTACCCGTTTACTGATGACATCATAGGTGAATGCTGAATTAACCAACCATTTCTCATGATATTAGGTATTTCGACTGCTTCAACAGGGTTTGTTGTGTTAATAGTTTTTCTATAGTATGTATCATATGTGCCTATAAAAACTGCAATAGTTGTTTCAACTAAAGTGCTACATAATAATTTAGATTAGCTGTCTGCTGACAAGATGGAAGATGAATGCAACACAAGTTAATCATTCTAAATTAAATAGTCCATTTCTGTCAACTCACCATAAGTAACTAAGCTTGGAGTTCCGAGTATTAGTATGAAAGAGAAAGTTTGATTTAGGGAAAACATAAAATCATCGGTACTATCTTGACCTAATTAAGAATGAAGGAATTGTCAAGTAGCGCATGTATTAAACCCTTTAACTGTGAACTTCTAAACACGAGTATTTCAACCTATCACATATTATTATGTGTGTGAGACTTGGGCGTGCGTCGGTGTCACAGTGTTTGGGACGCTCGCCGACCATGAACATGGTCCGCGATTCGATCCCCGGTCACCGACGCACTCCTTTACCTCACTAAGCCAGAAATAATTCTGGTAAAGAGGAAAGGTTGGGCATGAGGCTAGCAATTATGGATAAGATTTTATTTTGATAAATCACACACAGTGTTGTACAGTTATATTAACTGATGACGTTTCGAGCACAAACTATTGCTCATAATCATATCAGGTTACTCACACAACTTTGTTCTTTCATTTATATACATTTGTATATATACATATACACATATACATGTATAGGAGTGACTAAATTTTCAGATACACATAGAAGTGGCACAGCTAGGCAGCTTGTTTTTTGCTTGAGCAATCATAAATGATCGGCTGGAAAATGACGAACGAAGGTTAACGGCAGTATATGTCCATTTTATTGCTCTCGATAATCTTAGATTATTATTATTATCGAATTGAATTTTTGATTTTCCCGTCGATTGATTGGACCGAAGTGCTCGGTCTCAGGTTGATATGTCGGCTTCTTGTGCAGATGACTCGACGATGTCTGGGCATTTATGTAGTATACAGTTGATGGATGGTAGCTAGCAGTGGAATCCAGGATGCGCATTTCGTCCTATTTGGGACTCGTCAGCTGGATGTACCTGCATTTCCCAGTGAGTGATGATGATGTTCTCACCCAGGCTCGAACCCAGTGCCCATAGTTTCAAACGCCAAAGCGTTATCCACTATGCGACTTGTGCCACGAGAGCCACCTCTTTGGCGTTTGAAACTATGGGCACTGGGTTCGAGCCTGGGTGAGAACATCATCATCACTCCCTGAGAAATGCAGGTACATCCAGCTGACGAGTCCCAAATAGGACGAAATGCGCATCCTGGATTCCACTGCTAGCCACCATCCACCAATTGTATATTTTTTATTATCATTATTATCAACAGACCCACAAAATCACCATCACTGGTTCAAATTTTTATACATAAATCTATGTAAATTAGAGTAAAGCCTGAAGAGGATCTAAACAAAATCAATGTTGTTCCCTTATGTACATATTTGACAGTACGTTTTATGACTAATGCATGAAATATACTATTCTGAAGAGGAGGATTAAAATAATGGGAAATTATCATGGATTGATATCACTGTGCGTTGGTGGCACAGTGGCTAGGAATCTCACCAACCATGCACATGCTCCGAGGTTCGATTTCATGCCGACGCACACCTGAAATCTATGGTCGGCCTGCAAAATTTGGGCTACCGATATCACATGCTGAAAATTCCATACTTGTACCAAAAATACGGTGTTGAATCAAGCTGTAATCAAAGGTTAAAAAAAATAAATAAAATAAAAAATAAGTTAGAGAATCCCTGAAAAACCAGGAAATTATGGGCAGCTGTTCGGTTCTACCCTGACTTTTTAGCAGCACGCATCCATGACCCTAACGAGGATCAAATTCAGAATGTTCAGATTATGAAGCCAACCCACTCATCATTTGACCAATATGATACAATCCAATGGCCTATGAATTCTAACTTCTTTACAGAAAAATGTTAGCTCGTTTTATCCTTCAGATACTTGTAGAATTCATACAACCTTAACAATATTAAATCAAATGTTATAAAAGGTATTAGCGTAATTTCATCGAGTTATTGGTAGAAATTTTAAGCAACAGTACTCTAAAATGATATAAGCAGATATATTATTCGGTATTAAAAAGGCTAATCATTTATAACATAATTTGACACAAAGTGGAGAGCAGAGTTCAAATTTTGCATAGAAACAAAATATTGTACACAATATGATGGAGAGTTCAAGAGGGTTTCAGCTGTATACAGTTAACAAGAATCCGTGAAATAACACAATCTCGTATTATCAGGAAAATACGTTCGTGTTCTAACTACTGCCAATTCGTAATACCAGTGTAAGTTCATGGATAGGTATATACTACCAAAGATTCCTAGACTTTGAGGAAACAGTCGTCCAGTACTCTGTGGAATTTTTCACTGGCTCTCTCTTATTGATGTCAGTCTGTGACTAACCTGAAACTAGACAAATCCCCGTAAAATCAATTCTTGAGAATGTTAAAATATGATAAAACTCTTTTCGAGCTGAATTCGAAATTGTCACTTGAACTCATTTAGCATGTTTTTAAACAATCCATTTACAGACAGGAGGAGCAAACAACTACGTATCAAGAGCATGTCTTGGTTCTAATGGTAAATTTCCTCCAAATTTTCCATTATTATATCGAAGGACATGTACGACAGAATTGTGCAACAAAGAGAAATCAACCCACACAATCGGTAAGTGGTCAAATATAAAGTAGTCATAATGTTTAATTGAAAAATTTCAAACATTACAAAACTTGCTGGTGTTAGATGGTTGAAGGCAACCGGTAGGAAGCCTTGTCTGACCTGGGTTTCGTGCATGGAGGCACGCATCAGTCAGCAAAGCGTATCTGCATCCTTGAAGGAACTAACGTCCCTTCTCGGGTTCGAACCCACGTCATACAGTGTCGCAATCGTCAGAGACGTTACCATTGAGCTATTCAGGCTAGCGAATGATCTCCTGATAGACTCCAGTCTGCAACAAAGATAGGACTAGACAAACAGTTCAATCCATAAGCTTAGGAAACTTATTTCATAAATACCTTTCCCTTAACTGATATTATCAAAAGATTGGTTATTAATAGTTTCAAATGAATATGCGCGTAAAATATAGTGGTTGAATTAGGGTGAATGTTCAGTATGTTAGAGGACATTTCTAATATCTACTTCGTGAAGACTAATCAACTCAATAATATTTATATTTCAAATATGTGAGAACTTGACGAGAATATTTTTACTCCCCAGGGAATCTGTTATTTTTGACTGAATTTACACCTGTTCTTCTACCCTTTTAACCTATGGAGTAATAAGAGTTTAAATTCAAGTTATGTCATATCGTCCCCACTGCTTTCAATAACGTCTAGTCACATTAAATTACTCATAAAGCAGTGAACTTCTTTCCTCAATACGCAACAGGAATAAACTAGAATAATATTTGAGGTAACACTTCATGACCCCGTTACCTCTTTGTGTCAAAATGAACACTGATGCAAAAGACAGGTATCTTACCACTATCACCCACTCAGGACTCTCAGATTATGCCATGGTGATGTGTAGACGCTTTTTTTAAACAAATCAGTTGTACTTATTTGGGAATTTAATTCAGTACTTAATGTTAAGTCTAAGTGGTTCTCTGATTGTCACATCAAAATACGTCTACATCATGTGAAAAGCTGAAAGAATGTATCTTATAATTAAAAATACAATATTTACATACGGATTACTTTTTTTCAAAAATTACGCCAAATCATGAGATTCCATCGATCGTAAAATAGTTCATATAAACTTTTGAGCAACATAGTTAAATTTGAGTCAAATAGCTTCGTGCATACCTTGGGTCAGTATTCAAGTATATTTTTAAAAAAATGCGGAATTTTCTCTAGCGCTACACCCGTATCATATATCCTTCTGTTGCATAAAACTGCATTTGGACATTCTTATCATATTTCAATCGTGGACATTTTGTTTACTCTCTTATTACTTTTTTGTGTATATTCACGTGTAGATAATCCTATCAGGTGTTACGCTTGTAGTCACTGTTCAACAGAAAATCAAAGAATTGTAGATTTTTGTGGAGCATGTGTAGTAAGTTCATGTGTGCATATTTATTTACTAAAACTACTTTCTTTGAGTAGTTACATATACTATGTGTTATTTTGTAAACAAAATTCATTATTATTATATCCTTTAATTCCTAGAGGAACATAGGGCTTCAGCTGCGCATCTCCATTGCCTTCTGTTTTCTGTCAACTTTTTCACTCCGCTTCAAGTCTGCCCACATGCTTTCATCTCCTCTTCACATCACCTTCTTCAAGTCACCCTCGCACTGACGACCAACTCGCCGCTTCCCTTTCAATTGGGTTCCACTCGAGCACTGGCTTGTCTAGTGATGTCACTTGATGGTATGGCCAATCCACCTAACTCCATTTCTTCCTGCCTATTTGTTGCATAATCGGTTCCTGCTGGGTTGGTTCGCTCATTGGCAGAGATTCCTGTTGCTGATCTTTTCTGGCCGGCCATCTGATCTTGAGTATTGAGCGAAGACAACTGTTAATAAAGGTCTGTAGTTTGTTTGAGATGCTCTTCATTACGCGCCAAGTCTCTGATCCGTATAGTAGCACCGACTTCACATTGGAGTTGAAAATCCGGATCTTATTTTCGATGCTGAGTGCTGTTGACTTCCATACAGATTCAAGACCAATGAAAGCTTGTCTTGCTTTACCGATTCTGGCTTTGATATCCTCGTCAGTTCCCTTCGCCTGTAGTTGCAACGATGCTTCCCAGGTAGGAGAAGGAGGTTGTTTCTTTCAGGTTTCTTCCATTTATGCTGGCTGATTGTTGTCTGTTGTTGTTGTTCTTCGTGTTGACCAGGAGTCTTCATCACCTCTGTTTTATCTATGTTCACCTGAATGGTGTCCTATCTTTGATGCTCCTTCTGCCAACTTGTTGCTTTTCACTCGCATATCTTCCAGTTTGTGGGAAATCAGACATATGTCATCGGCGAAGTTCGGATCCTCCAAGTTTTTTGTGTGGGTCCATTTTATGCCTGTTTCCCCGCTGCCCAGCCTGGTGTCTGTCGCATTATCCTATCTACTGCAATCAGGAAGATCATTGGCGATAGTAGACAGCCTCGCCTCACTCCCGTCCTCACTTCGAAGGCTTCCGTAAGTTTCCCGTTGTGGATTACTTGGTATGCAGCATTGTCGTATAACTGTTGGATGAGATGTATAATTGTCGATGGCACCCCGTAGTAGGGAAGTAGTTGCCAAATCACCTCTCGATCGAAGCTGTCGAAGGTCTTTTCAAAGTCGATGAAGTGAAGATAGAGAGCTGACTGACTGCCATTCCAAGCTTTGTTCAGTGATGATCCGTAGTGTGGCAATTTAATCAATACATGACTTGTTTCTCTTGAATCCAGCCTGTTCCGGTCGAAGTTTTCCACCCAGGTTGGCGTTATTGATTCTCTCCAGGATGATGCGGCTTAGTATTTTGCTTGGGATGAACAGGAGCATAATTCCACGCCAGTTTTTGCATTGACTTAAGTCTCCTTTCTTCCAATCCTCGGATACTTTGCCCTCTTTCCACACCTCCAGCAATTGCATCATCAAGTCCACTGTTGTTTCTGGGTTCATTCTCAATGCTTCTGCTGGGATTCCATCTGGTCTTGCTGCTATTCCAGCTTTTAGCATCTTGCTTGCGTGCAGGACGTCTGATTTCGTTGGGGGGTCGATGTTCACTGGTAGTTCTGCTTCCGTTGTTGGAATTGTTGGGCGCGTTGTAGGTTGCGGTCGATTTAGGGGTATTTTGAAGTGTTCAGCCCAGTGTTTTCTTTGCTACACCTCTTTGGTGATTGACTTTCTATTGTCATATTTTACTGGCTTAATCTGTGTCGAACTTTTGCCCGATAGGTGCCTAGTTGTTTGGTACTTGAAATTGATTGAATTTAGTAATCAATTAATAAGACATGAGAAAGGCTTGTCACTTATTTTACTTTATACTTCAAGTGTTTTAATTTATCTGGAATCATAAGTACATATTATCAAATAATGACTGAAGCTCAACATTCACAAAAAGTATAACTTATCAGTGAATGTTTTAGATGGCAAAACATTGATAACTGAATTGTCACCCTAGAGAGAGAATGATTATTTTCAAATAATTTCCTCATTAGGCTTCTTACTTATTATGAAAAAACAAAATTCACGTCCACGTTTTATTGTTGTTGTTATTATTATTCCCTTGGGTTCCGAGTGGAACATAACGCTTTAGCAGCACATATTCACTTTATCCTGTTCTTTGCAGCTCATTCCATGATTGCTGATTAGTTTGCATATCCTCTTAGTTCAGTCTCCTCCATATCACCCTCAAATATACTCCCAACTCTTCGTCCCCCATTAGTATTCCACTCGACTGATGGTCCGGCGCATTTGGTCACCCACCAAGTCTATGACTCATAAAGAAGTAACTTGATGTGAAATCTGAAAATTAGAATCTTGTTCCTTATTGCTGGGTTTGGCGGATTTCGATACTGATTTCAGGAGAACGAAGGTCTCCCTAATCTTTACGATCTTGACGTTGACATTCTTATATGCTTTGTTTGTAATTGAAACAATGCTGCCTAAATAAATGAAAGAAGATTCCCCGTTGATACTGATTAGTACTTGCTTTTGTTCTTGTTGATCGGAGGGTGTCTGGGTTTTTTGCGTCCTCTCTATGTTCACTTGAAAACCTGTCTCCTCTGCTAGTCTATTCTCATCTCAAATTGTTGGGTTTCACCTGTAGATGTTTGAGTCTGTGTGACAACAGATGTGCATATTCGATAACAACAGGATCTTCTAGAGTCCTCATAACAGTTCAAATATTCTTATCTTCTAGTTTCCCAAGGTATGAGCCTGGTCCAGTCTACCACAACTAAGAATGTCATCGGTGACAATAGTAGGTAGCCTTGTCTTACTCCTGTCTTCACTTCAAAGGTGTTGCTTTGCGTCAGTTGGCACATCGCATGACGTTAGTAAAGGTGTGAGGCACTCTGTAGCATTGAAGCCATTTCCAAATTAATTATTGGTCAACTCTGTCAAAGACCATTTCAAAGTCGATGAAGCTGACATGGAGGTTGGACTATCTACCATTCATTCTATGCTCTGCTAGATAGTGATGCGTAAAGTTACAATCCAGCTTGTTCTGGGCAGAGTTCTGAATCTGGCACATCTCCTAGTCTCGCCAGGATGACTTAAGTTGATGTTTTTCTTGGTATGGTCAGAAACATGGTTCCGTGGCAGTAGCTGCAATAGGTCAAACATGTTATTTAATCATTTAGGCCCATGTTCCTATTTTCTTTACATTTCTGCATACATTAATGTGATAGTCTAAAGTAACCTGCTGCCGTTCCATCCTTTTCTTCAAATGTATTTCATTTTATCTGTATTATTATAGTTGCCGAGATGATTCCATTCAGCTTGATTTGAGTATATAACGTTGACTTAAGGGAATTTTAATAATTTTAGTAATAGAAATTATCTTCTTCAGTATAATGCAAATATTCATGCTATCAACTTGTTCGCTGTTGCCGGTATGCAAACAAATAGGAAGGTACTCGCACTTGCAGTTGTCTACACATTCAGAAGCTAAAAGCAAATGAGGGAATTTGTGGCTTTGAATCTTTCTTTGTGCGGTTGTTTAGGTCATACGGATAATCACAGTTATGACCTTTGGTTACTCAAACAAATCCTTTAACTCTGTATAATTCATATTTCTGTCTATAACCTGATTCAGTTAACAAACAGTCCTATTGTAACAACAGGAGACAAGGGCCAGGCAACAGATCGTTTATTATGGAAATCAACACATATTTATAGATTTTCATATACATATTATAGATTATTGTTAGCAGAAAGACACAGCCTTTTGATTGGCTGTTTCTCACTGAAAGTTAACCTTGCATCTCTTTGTGACTGTTTCTTGAATGTCAGATCATCTATATGTTAACTGTATCCACCCACGCAAAGCCTTTGTTCTCATTTTTCTCAAGACTAACATTTGAGACATAAACATTGACGTAAATAATGTCTAACAACTTGGCTGGCAGCCAGCTCTCACTACGCTCGTCCCCGCGTCAAAGACTTGCGACTGAAGATGGTTCGGTCTACTCGGTTCTAGGGGCTTTGTTCGTTTGTCTTGTTGTTTGGATTCTCGGCACTCGCTGATTTTCATCTGTTTCTCTTCGTTCGCCAATGCGATTGTGTCTGAGTAACCTCATCTCAACGTGACCATATGTGGTCCTTCCCACTTTGGAAAATGTTTGCCTGACCCTGTCTCACATTATTTGGTATTTCATCTAACACTTTCATATGCTGATTTCTCCCGACCTTCCAGTAGCGTCTCAAGTAGCCCGCTCGTCGCTGACAGATCTTGAACGCCACTCAACTGAGCAGAAGCCTCGAAGTCCTGCCCGAAGATCCATATGTCTCCATCAAAAACTGTAGGGCATAGGCTTTCCATTTGTCGATAGGCAGCGACACCAAATAAAACAACAGAAGACAAGTGCCAGGCAACAGATCATCTGTATGCTAACTGTATCCGCCTATGCAAAGTCTTTGTTCTGATTTTCTCACGACCAATATCGGGGACATAACTATTGGCGTAAATTACTGTCTACCAATTTCAGCTAATAGCCAGCTCTCACCGCACTGTGACAATTATTTATACCAAAATATTGCCAAAATCTCCCTTCTATAAGTGTTTGTGTATTGTGATAGTGATGTAATTGAGCAATCACCGAATCCGTTTGGAACAATCAACTTCTCCGTCTTAGCGCCTTCTGCACCTCAGTTTACCCATTTCTTTAAGTTTAAGGGTATCTTAACTGTCATATATTGATTCGTTGGTAACATATGTTATGTGTAACAAGATTTATAGAGTACTCAGAGGATGGATTCCTCTGAAATTTCAACGATTTTTGATTGTAATTTCGTCTAGGTGATGAAAAGTTTCCGGTATTCTGAAAAAAGCTTGAATTCCTTGAAATTAATTGTTGAGGTTTTGTTTGGTGTAGTGTGAATCCAACAAGTGCTTATGGTAATAATCTGAACTTCAAGTTATGACACTGACTACATTTCAACGCTTTTTGTCAGTCACACCCACAATTTGCAATTTATATAGTGCGGGGTGACATTTCAGCTCATTTTTATATAGAAACCGAAATAATTCCTTTCACAATATTTAGTCTGCTTGATACCATAAATGGTAAATAAGAAAGCAAGCACAAATGCATGTTATTGTGTGTGTGTGCGCGCGAGAGCGGTTTAACTCAGCTCATAGATGTGAGTCACTTAAGACCACTTACATCATTTCGATAAACGAGACCGATTGATGTGGGTGGGATATACTACTATCCATTTCAGGCATTAAGTAGTCTAAAGTTTTTCGCCAATATTTACCATACATTTACACTGAAAATCTAATCCTCTTGAATATATTTTATTTCAGACTTCGGTCGAATCAGGAATTTTGAATAAATATTGCAATTATACATGTGGTCCTCAGCCGGTGGGCAAAGAAATATCATGCTGCACGTCCGATCTGTGTAATGGAAAAACGAAATTATCTATGCATAGCAGCGCAGTTATATTAATGCTCATTTTAACTGGAATCAGTGCGCATATGTTGTAAGACAGACAAGGGATGGGATAAACTATGATGATCCTCCATTGCTCAAACATCACATGCTTGGACCTTTACATAAAAAACATACAAAGTTTAATGGAAACGTTGTAGACACAGTTTCATAGAACTTCTATTTCATGACCTTGTTTTTATTTTTAAAAATCATTCACCGTTTCATTCATTGTATTTTGGACGTGCATAAGTTTGTTTTATTTTGGTTATTTCATTATTTGAGAATCCATTTCGAGTAATTTAAAAATCGTCTAGAATTGAACTCTACTTAAAATTTTAAGATATAAAAACAAAAACATTGTAAAAAAGATGAGTGTTCAACGAAAAACTATTGTTTTACTCATTTTTCCAGTTATCCATTGGTCAGCGTGCATCGTTGAAAGGTACCCGGATAAGATGAGGCCATTATCCTGTATGCATTCTATCCTAAACTTTTTCTTTACTTGATAGTAATTTGTCACAAGTAAAGTCATCAAGATATTTCCATGATTAGTTTGAGGGTATTATTTAAATCCGTGTAATTAATTAGTGCATCTTGTATAACATAAAAATAGTGAGGCAAAAATAATATCGGGAATACAAACGTTGAAAATACAAGCACTTATAAAATAGTCTTCACACCCAAGACAATCAACCAGAAAAACATAATTTGTGGTGTGTTAGTTTCAAAATATCCTTTCTGTACTAGATGGTTGGAGGCAGTCGGCCACAGGAAGCCTTCGACGTATATTTCGTGCTAGTTGTCACTCATCAGCAAGGCGTATCTGCAGCCTTGAAGGAACTCATGTCCCTTCTTTCTGTACTTATCATAAGAATGCACTAGTTCGTTATATCTCACTATAAACATAAAACTTCAGCGCTGTGATAGAGTATAATTCCATTATAGATAAAATCTTTATTTGATAAAGTCACATAGTGTTGTTATACAGTAATATTTAATGATGACGTTTAGAGCGCAATTTATCAAACACTATCATATCAGGATGGAATCACACAACATTCTTGCTTCGTTCGTATACGTAATTAAGGATTGACTAGGCACATAAATAAAATCAGTTAAAGTGCAATAGACATGAGCGAAATAGGATGGAAGATGGCGTACATTCGAAGACAATATTAATGTCTTAAGAATTAGTTTTTAAAGATTCTGTTTGTTTCAGGCTAGACCGTGGATTCCTTTAACGTGTGTATGTGACCTGAAAATCACTTCAGGTTATTAGATAAACTAAACGGTTTTGTTTTTTTGGCTCCACAAAACACTTGAACCGACAAAGCTTACTTCTAATCGAGTTTGTGGGTTTAAATGCCAGCCACTCTCATTCCTGCACTGCTAAGAATTTTCCTTAGGGTTTCCTTAGGGCCTGTCAGTCTAGATACACGTATAGACTACGGTTTAATATCAGTTAGAGAACCGCTGAAAACCAGAGAGTACCGGATGGCTGTGTTTGTCCTGGTTTGGGACTCATTGGCAGTACAAACCCACTGGGTTTCGAGCCCAGGTAGAAACGAAGAATGTAAGGTATGAACAGTTTTATCATATAAGCAGGAGACATCTGAAGCCCTACTCAGTAGGATTCCTACTTCAAAAGCAGCAATTATGTTGGTATTCAAACCTACTAAGTCACTCAGGTAAAAAAAGCTCCGTAGGCTTAAGGACCCCGATGATACAAGTAGACAAAATGATGTAATTTACAAAATACCAGGTAATGACTGCGACTTAAGTCAACTACATAGGTTAAACTAGTAGGTCACGAGTAGTCAGATTACCAAACAAAAGAATTAAGCTAAGGGTTGAATGATTAACTCCACGAAGATAAGTCATTTAGAAAAAAGCTCAGAAATCACACTGCATGAATTAACAACGCGCTACAACACAATAGGTTGGAAGAGTCACAATTCTAAATTACAATATGAGTAGGTGGGCAGGGGAATTTATGAGTGAATTCTTGTTTATCGAGTCTACACCCAACACATACAACAGAAGAGAACAAACGAAAATATGCGAGATATGGAAGATACTATTACCACCAGTCAAATCAGAGGATAATGAATAATGTTGAAATGTATTCCAATTCATATAATAACATTCTAACAAATTACATGTTTTACTATAAAAACATCTTATTTCCCATCTTATTGTATTTTTTTTTGCCAACACGAATATTGTTTCCGAATGTACCTTAACTTATATTGACTTTATTCATATGTCTAATCAATCTTTACTTATGTACATAAACGAAGTAAGAATGTCGTGTGAGTACATCCTGATATGATTATGAATAATAAATTGTGCTCGAAACGTGGTCATCAGTAAATATTGCTTACTGTATAACAACACTAATGTGACTTGATCAAAATAAACTTTATCCATAAATGGAATTTGTTATATCTCCACTGGCTTCATTTGACTGAAATGAAAAAGTATTAAATAGGAAATGAGCTGCAAGGTAGTGTGCATCGCCAGTTGATGTGAGCAGTTAAACACCCTTCAATAGGGTTATTCTCAGTTGCGATGAAAGAATTAATCAGAAATACGACTTTTCCATCTAAGTGAGTGCACCTTTTCGTCAAATTTCAAGAAAGTACTTAACAAGCCACCAGAGATACATCGAAGTGATCATGATTTGTTTTCATTCCCTTGGGTTCCCCTCAGGATAGAAGTGTTCAAAAGCATGTCGCTGTTTTACTCACTTCCTTAAAGTCCCTCTTTTCTGCCTCCACGATCCTCCATAAACATTAGTGTCTTCCTGACATAATCTCTTTAAAATAACGCTGAGATATTCAACTCATAGTTACTCATTCAAGTTCCACTCAACAGCCTGTTGTATGTTGTCAGCGAACGGTCACCTTAGCTTAGTCCAGTCCATCTCCATTTTCTCCTGTATGTTTTTTGGCACATGATGCTTTCTCAGTTCGTTACTTGCTTGAGTTTCGTGCTGCTGATCATTTCTGGTCATCTAATCTCCAGCTCTTGTTGAAAGTCTGAAGCCTGGTGAAGCCTGACGCTCCAAGTCCTCAAATCATATAGAAAAATAGATAGATAGGGAACTACAGTTCCAAAACATCGTACTGTTTTACATATAGAGTCAATAATTCAAACATCAGCTATTCATTGTGGTCTTTGAAATTAACCTCACTAATTAGCATATCGACTGTTTACATACTGAACAAGTAAATACAGGTGAATAATATCTAATTAGTGTAACTGTTACCTGTAAAATGACTATGACGTATGCAGAATAAATTAGTGTATGTGAAAGGTGCTTTAAATTGTTTCTGGCTCATCTACCTACAGTTGTGTCATTCAGATAACTTGGAATAACAGAAACCATTTCATCTCTGTCATTTATAACCAACGAATAGTAAAGCTAAAGCTATCATCTGTACTGAAATCATCTTCTGCGTCACAGAAAATGTTCGTAGAACCATGACGCTGTTTCCATGAATCGAACTGCCTACACCTGCAATCTCATTGATTTATAGTGACTCTAAAAAATATAACTTCAGGGGAATTCGAAGTTTTATTAATATATGTGATAAACTTGAGCGCTGTGGTAGTACGTAATTCCATATTAGTTTGTTTATTAGATGTATCACACAGTGAAACAGTATTATTTACTGGATGACAGCGTTCAGAACAAAATGTATTACTGTTCATAATCATATCAACTGTAATCACACGACTTTGAAACTTCAGTTTTATAGTTTTCTTTGTCCTCTCCCATTTGTCGTCGTAGGAGTAGTAGAATTTTCCAGATGTTGAATCATTCCTATTACATATATTTTCAGTTGTTTCAATAAACAAAGACTCTATTATCAATCTCTCGCTCCACACAGCTGTTACATTAGATTTTAAAACTGTCATCTTATCCCATCCTGTTGTATGGTTCTGTGTAACTGCATATAGTGCTATAGCTGAGCTACTCTCTAGATTTCTTATCTTATTTGGGTCAACCAATCTAGATTTTGCTAGGTTTTTATGTTCGGCTAGTCTGGCTGCCCCTGTTCTACTAGTTTGACCTATGTATTTGATTTGACAATCAACTCAGGCAGGCAATTAGATAGACTAAATTGTTTTGTTTTAAAAGCTCCACAGGATGCTTTAACCGACAAAGCTTGTTTCTAATTGAGTTTGTGGTTGGTTTGAATGTCACTTTTATCCCTACTTTGTTAAGAATTCTGCGTAGGGTGGTTTCCTAGGTCCCTTCATTGTATGCAATTACTACTGATGATTTAGATTCCTTATTGTTGGTGTCGTCATTAATATCATTATTATTGTCACTATTATTATAATCATCATTATTAGTGTCGTTATTATTATTATTATCACCATCACTATTATCATTATTTATTTTATTTTTACATTTCCTTACATATTTCCTGATTAATTTATCCGGATAACTATTAAGTTCCAAGGCTTTATTTATGTGTATCACTTCTTGTCTTAGATTTTGCTTGCTACTACTTAGTTTTCGTCCTCTGTCACCTAAACATTTCACCCATCTTATTTTTACTGACACAGATAAGGTGTGATGACCGGAAGTCCATCCAGTAAATAGTACTGTTTCACTGTTTGATACATCTCATAAACAAACTAATATGGAATTCGAAGTTTTTAAAAGAGATTATTCAAAGCTTTGAGCAAACTAATGTAGCGAAGATATACTGTGTGTACACATTCAGGTAGATCTCTTCAAGGGAGAATATAGACTTATCTGATATAAACTTAGTTTTAAAATCACTGGTAAATAGGCAAAGGGTGAATTGGACAAAACTAAATATGTATGGAGTTATCATGTTTAGGTACTTTGTGAATTTCTAAGAAGCAGTTTCCAACTTCTGCGTAACGGTTATACACATTATAGAAACATTCATTTCTTGATACGAATTTAAAACGAGCAATCGATAATCGAATGAAATCATCAGATTTTTGTAGAATTCCTTGTTTGGATACTCTACACACAATTTTATGTACTATGCGTACCATAAGAAATACATAGGGAGAACTGTGACAAATGTATGAACTATCATGAATTAATCATAACAAAGCAAAAAGTGGTAATTTCGTGCAAATTTAGTCTAGAGCTTAATTCATCCCGTTATTATTATTATTTCGCTTTTGATAATTCATTCTCAGATCTTGCCATTTCTCTTCCTGATAATCACATAACTGAACCGTATTCCACCACTCTTCAACTATCTGAACTTGACACGCATAATATTTTCACTTTTCTTTTAGTTACGATTGATTCATTTCAGTTTGCTCATTTTTAATGTCTGTGACTGCAGAACTAGGAGACCTGAGTTCGTATCTCAGAAGGGAAATGAATCCCTTCATGAATGCAAATATGCTTTGGGGACCAGTGAATATAAGCAACAGATTTAGGTCAAACAGGACTTGCTGTCTATCGCCAAAAACACGTCTCACAACAGCACTGACTTCCTTTATGCCTACTCACAAGCGTCTGCAGTATCATTCGTTTAACAAGAAACCAAACTTAACGGACCATCTATCTAATAGTTAGAGAGGGAAGAATTGATGTCTTTGAACGTTTTCAAAAAGCAGGATAATGTCATTCAGAGAGTTTACAAGTAATTAATTGTTTCAGTCATCGCACACACGCAAAAGAAGTGTCATTTTCGATGAGATGATGGTAAAAGGGAAAACTTGTGTGTGTATCAAAGTATATTCAAGCCCACTCTACTCATTTTTGAACTAAAAACATCCTTAGTTTTCCAGTCAATCTACCTTTGATTACTCTACTAATTTTCAGTCTGTTTTCCGCATTTATGGAAATATTTTTCGTTCGCAAAAAGTCATGTCTGTCTTCATAAGATTAACAAGAAGACCCATTTTGAATACTATTAATTCAAAGCATGAAATTAACCGGTTTTGATTTTCGATTCTTCAAAATTTTCAAACTTAAAACATCATGATTGAATTGTAATCTGTTATACTGATCAGATCAATGAAAGATCACACCTGTATGCTAAAATGATGTGATTGAAGATGAACTTACGACTGGAAATGATTCCATTATTTGAAAAGTAGTTCATTTGACTACGAGAGTCGAAATGTTCCGCATCTGCAAAACAATAAACTAGTCTATTGCCATCGCAGCTTACATGTAAACTAGCTACCAATAAGTTAATAAAATCAATACGAAAGAGCTTCTATTGCCTGTATGTTATAGCTCATATTTTCCCCATGCCTGGCTGTAATTCTCAAAAATGAAAAACTAAATTCCTAGGCTAGACACTACTTTCCGTATCTGTCACTCTAATTGCTCCTGTGGAACCAGTTATTATCGACCGTTGCTGTAGGTAGGTATAATGTAGGTGCAATGAAAAATATTAATAGTTCTCTATCAGAAGATTTGATCTATGTAAACTAATAAGGTCAAAATAAAAGAATCTCTCTGTTTTGTAACAATTAAACTACTGAAAGCCACTAGATTGGTCATATTGTTAACATTCGCTTAAAACAGACGGAATTTAATGTACAAAACCAACAAGTTTAGCGACTATTGGTATCTGGAAATATTGTTTCTTTATTCCTTCACGGTCCCAGTGGAGCATTGAGATTCAAGCCAGATGCTTGAGGTTTCAGTAGCAGTGGTATTTATTTTGATTGGATGAGGTTGCTTGCCTCACGCCCAACCTTCTCTCTTTATCAGTCTTACTACTGACTTAGAGAGGGAAAAGAGTGTGTCAGCCGGGAATCGAACCCCGCACTACACGCACGGTTGGTGAGCATTCCATCTCTGTGCCACCAACGCACTTATGATGTATTGATCTACGGTAATGATTCAAAGTTATTTAAAACGAAACATAATTGTTGTGACTGACATTTATTTAGAATTACAGCTATGCACGTGCGTCGGTGGCACAGAGGTCAGGACGCTCGCCGACCATGCACATGGTCCTGGGTTCGATCCCCGGTTGACGCACTCCTTTACCTCACTGAGCCAGAAATAATCCTGGTAAAGGGGGAAGGTTGAGCATGAGGCTAGTGACCCATTCCTATAAAATTAGACGCTGCTACAGAAACTTCAAGCCACTAGCTTTAGGCCCTATGTTCCACTGAGAACGTGAAAGAAAGAAAATAGCTATCTGCAACTGTAGAATCTAATGTGACGGGGTTATCGAAAAAAGTTATTCTTTATCTATTAACCTGTGTTTTGAAACTTATCACGACTATCTCTCATTAATCTATTAGCCTTAATGCAGAATGTTAATGTCGTCTTAAGATACAATTATTTCGTTTTGATGATATTCATGTTTCAGTTTGAAAACTACATTAAACGATTGGTGTTCCTATCAGATACACCAATTTGCTTTCAAGGGATTATTGAACCAATCAGAATTTTCAAAATATCTTACGACAAAACACTGGACAGTCTATCACATTCTTGTGCTTATTCGTCTCTTGATAGTAGTGACTGTCAGTACACCTACCCGCATACTAAATAGTCTGATTTTTACAAATCACCTGACAATTTATAAGCTTGTGATTGGATAATTACTGTGGGCAATAATTTCGACATAAACCTGTCTGTATATTAGATGTCGATATAACCTCAGTAAAATAATACACTTCAGTGTTTTGGCTCAGACGTCGATACATTTTTTGCAGAATGATGAACAGAAATTTAGCTTGTTTCGGAGTACTTGTATACTTTCTTGTCAGTATTCTCAGTAAACGTAAGTGACTCAGAGCTTAATGTAATTCTGTTCATATAATTTTGATCATTACCAATATTCCTATGGATATGGGTCTTAAACGAGCGGTTGTCTTTAATATAACAGCTAATTGTATTTCTGATGTGTAGCCAAGATATAGAAAGCACTTCTATTTTATTTCTAGAATTGTGTGTAATTCATCGGAGTATTCCAGGTTGCGTTCTCACCTTGCCAAAAAAATTAGTTTTAACCGTAAATTTACAGGACTCACATAATTTTGAAGCAATTTTTCGTCATGTTAACAATCGGTACTAAGCTCCACCTTGAACACTCGACTAAAAGCCCTTGAAATTTATATGCTGACGAGACAGGCAACAACCTTGCCATGTCAGCAATAAAGGAGAATACAATTTATTAACGACCGCAACACCTTTAAAGGTTTTTTTTACTATGATCGATTTTTTCAAGGTCATTCTCAAGGTTATCTACACTGCCTGCTTTTCTTTTACATTATTACCATGTCTTAGTGTATCTGAATGAAATTCTCAAAAGTGCTCTACAAAAATGACAGCTTCAAAATTACATGTAGAAAAATTTTCATTCAGAATGTATTGTTCATTTATTGTGTAATAATTACTACTGCATTTTATAATATAAGCTACTGACATCAATTGAATAGTCCATTATTTCACAATGAAATTAAACCACCATTTTCAAAAGAAACATAATCATATTTGAGTCACGGAGAAATAGATCTACTTTGTTTCTTTGGTCATTTTAATGGGACGTCAAGATACTTAGTAACCTTTAAACTCTTCAGGTTATAGATTTTTGATATGAATAGTCCAAAGAATTTTGACCTGAACAAGGTATGATCACAGAGAGATATTTATGCAATCAATACAACATGATCTACCCAGTAAACTCGTTCACATGTGTATTATTGTTGAAACTGAAAGACAGTGTAACCGAAAGACTCGCTTCAGATACGAGTAGGATATTATCCCTATTGTTATAATTGTTGTTATTATTATTACTATTCCTTTAAGTTCGGAGTGGAACATAAGGCTTCAACAACACATCGCCATCTTACCTAGTCCCTTGCATTCCTATTTTTAGCTGATCCTATGACTTCCCATAAGCGTCAGTCTCCTTCCTATATCGTCTTCCTCTTGATAACCTCAGACACCCAACTCTTCATTTCACATTCGGGTTCCACTCTATGACTTGGTGCATAATATCATCCAATGGTCTCTTCAGCAGATACCCAATCCATTTCCACTTCCTTCTGTGGTTTTTATTGGGTGATAGGTTCTTGGCTGGTTCCTTGCATTATAAGAGTTTCACGGTGCTTAACATTTCTGGCCGTCTGATCTTCAGTATTTGCGTCGCCAAGGCAGCTTTTCATAAATGTCTGCAGTAGCCTGTTTGAAATGTTTTTGATGACCTGTGTGTTAAGTGCTTGGATAATATAAAGGTAACCGAGCTGAATGAACTTAATGTTGCATATCCGGATCATGCTTCTTACGCCAGCTGAATCAGATTTTTACACTGATATTTCTTATCTGTCAATGTTTTTTGTTAAACAGAATGGAATTTTCACTTTGTCTTTAGTGTATGTGCACAGCAAAACATTTAAAAATGAACCAACCTTAGCCGTAATATATCAGTAACAGATACTTCGAGAAATTGCTTCAAAACAACTTTGTACTGTTTTACAATACACCGGGTTTTTGCACTAAAAGAAAGTAGATTTTCTTATAGCCTAGGAATGTTCGAAGGAGAAATATTTTGTTCAAATCTTATCTAAGACTGTGTTCACGTGTTACTAATAGGCTTTACACTGGTCATCCTGATATGTGAACAGAAATCATTGATATTATGAAAGTATTGTTTGTATTATCGGTGTCCAAATGATATCTAAAGTTAGTGACCTTATTTGATGTAATTGGAAATCGCTTATATTGGAGTGGAGGAATGCATACTTCATTTTGACTGTTTCAGAGTTTTCCTTAATTTGTTTCACTGGTGATTCTTTTGTTTTGTCGCATTCTAACAAGTCTGATTCTAAGATTTACGATTCCTCCCTACATGCATATATATATATATATATAGACGCAATATATCGCAACTTTCATTGTATTTTCCTTTTTATAGATATTGTAATTCTTCCCTTTATTTTCCTTCTTTCTTGTACACAGATAAATGCTTGTCCATAAGATGTTATGATTGCGACCATTGCCCCAGAGTCTCAAATATATCGATCTCGAAAGACGAATGCGCCAAATGCCTTGTAAGTTGAATTCGATGACAAATTCGAACAAAAATTTCCTCTCTCTTAAAAATACTTTAAACTATTATTAAGAGGTCTTAAAAATGCACATCATTTTTTCTGAATAAGGTCAATATTTTATTTAAATATCTAATGCTGAATAAGGATTAATGAATTGTCTTGTTTTTTTCTACTTTAATGTCAAGTGTTTCATCTTGAGATTGCGTAATTGCATTCAAAGATGGAGTGTATTCTAGCTGATAACCGATAATGTTGATACTTTGGTTACTCTGAGGAACCATAGCAACCCAAGCGTAAGGCTGTCGTAATGGCTTTGATCAACCAATCAAGTGAATCCATAAGTGCAGATTCTATCCAGAAATAAAAATTCAGTACTGCCCTGATAAACAGCTCATAAGATAATAAAGCTTTTAAATGTGGAGGAGTAATGTCTTTACAGAGATATGCAGCCACTGTTGATATGTATTGGTGCGTTGGTGGCACAGTGTTGGAATGCTCTCCAGCCATGCACGTGGTCCGAGGTTTGATCCCCGGCTATGGACGCACTCCCCTACATTGCTTAGCTAGTAATAAGACTGGTAAAGAGGGAAGGTTTGGCTAGCAACCACCTCATCCAGTAAAAATAAATACCACTGCTACCGAAACTACAAGCCTCTAGCTTGAAGGTCTGCGTTCCATTGAGAATGTAAAGAAATAAAAAGAAAACAAAGTTGATAGGTATCTGTACAGATGTTCAGATTATCGTTTCAGAAAATCTGTCCGAGAAGGTATATCGTTTCTATTTTAGGCCAAGTTAAACTTTAGGCACCAACAAGTAATAATAGAGTGCTACCGCATCAATAACGTTGAAGAATTCAGTGCACATGTTACTGAAACTATTCATATAACATTAGAATGATGAACAAAACATGCTTTATGACGTGTTTTGTTACTAAATGGTTTATGTTGTAAGCTTTCATTAGGTTTGCGTAGGACTTAGTCAACATTTAGGCTAAGGAGGTGTTATTATTATTATTGCTCCCTTGGGTTCCTAATGGAACATAGGGCTTCAACTGCACGTCTCCACTTGCCACTTTTGTCTTCTGCTGTACTTTTCACCTGCATCCATGTTAGTCCATATTGTTTCAGCTCCTCTTCTCACGATCACCTCCATGTCACCCTTGCACTGACGTTCCTTACGCCGTTTCGCTTTCGAGTTCCACTCGAACAATGGCCTGACGCGCGCGCGATGTCACACATCCGCCTCCTCACCGAGTGTCCAATCCAACTCTATCCACTTTCTCCTGCACATTTCTTGGTTGGTGATTGGTTCTTGTTTTTAATATAGTTCCCAAAGTTTCTTGTTGGTGACTCTTCACGGACATCTGATCTTCAGTACAGAGCGAAGACAGTTGTTAGTAAAGGTCTGCAACCTTCTGGAAATATTCTTTGTGACCCTCCAAGCTTCTGGTCTGTATAGAAGAACTGACTTTACGTTTGTATTGAAAATCCAACTGGATTTTGTTGTTGATGCTGGTTGAGTGACGAAGATTTCCAGATTGGTTATTTCAGGTTGATGAATGTGTTTCTCGCCTTCCCGATTCTCGCTCTGTTTGACATCCTCGTCCGTTCCGACTGCCAATGCTCAATGCTAGATAAGTGAATGAAGTAACCTCTTTCAAATCCCTCCCGTTGATGGTGATTGGTGCTGGATGTTGCTGCTGTTGTTGTTGGTTGGTTATTTTCATAACCTCCGTCTTGTCTATGTTCACCTGGAGTCCTGTCTTCGTTGGCTGCTTCTTCGACCAGTTTGTCGGTTTTCGCTTGTAAGTCTTCGATTGTGTGTGACATCAAACATAAATCATCCACGCGCGAAATCCAGGTCTTCTAGGTTCTTCACGTCGGTCCAGGATATCCCTGTCCGTTTCTCGTTTCCCACTGTCTGACGCATAATCTCAGTCCACCACAATTTGGAATATCATTGGTGATAATAAGCACCCTTGTCTGACTCCTGTGTTTACTCCAAACGCCTCGCTGAGTTTTCCGTTGTGGATCACTTGACATGTGCCGTTGTCGTACAGCTGTTGAATAAAGTTGATGAATATTTGGGGTACGCCATAGTACTCGAGTAGTTTCCAAATTACTTCACGATCAACGCTGTCGAAGGCCTTCTCAAAGTCTATAAAGTTGAGGTAGAGGTTTGATTGCCATTCCATGCTTTGTTCTGTGATGATGATGCGTAGAGTTGCAATTTGGTCAGAACATGATTTGCCTTTCCTGAATCCAGCTTGTTCTGGTCGGAGTTCTGTCTCCAGTGCGTCCTTTAATCTCTCCAGGATGATGCGACTCAGGATTTTACTTGGCGTCGATAGGAGCATGATTCCTCGCCAGTTCTTGCAGAGTGAGTTCTAAGTCGCCCCTTTCTTCCAGTCAGTAGGCACCTTTCCCTCCTTCCAGACCTTTTGCAATAATGGAGTCAGCATGTGTGCTGTAGTCTCTGGGTCGCTTTCAGTGCTTCAGGGGGTATTCCATCTGGTCCAGCTGCTTTTCCAGCTTTCAGAAGCTTGATTGCATTCAAGACTTCAGCTCTCGTTGGAGGATTGGTGTCAACTTGCAGTTGTGTACGTGCTGTTGTTGGTATTTCTGGACGGGTTGCAGGTGGTGGTCGGTTCAAGAGTCCTTTGAAGTGATGCGCCCATTGTTTAATCTGTTTTCTTCCTTGGTAATTGGGTTCCCTTGGCTGTCTTTTATAGGTTTCGCTTGTGTTGATCTCTTCCCGGATAGAGATTTGGTTATCTGATATAGTGTCCTCAGGTCCCTTTTGCCTGCTGCCTTCTCAGCTTCAGTGGCGAGGTTGTCGTAGAATCGTCTTTTGTCCTTCCTAGCACTCTTCTTCACTTCTTTGTCCAGTGCTGTGTAAGTTGAGCTCAGCGTCTCCTTCTCCTGTCCGTCCTTGCATTGAATCATTTTCTCTTTCACCATTCTCCTCTCTTCTATTAATTTCCAAGTGTCCGTTGAGAGCCATTCCTTGTCTTGTCTCTTCTTTCTTCCTAGAACCGTTGAACACGTTTCGTTGAGAATCGCCTTCAGAGACTTCCAATGTTCTTCCACGCATGATTCTTCAGTGATGTCGCGTAGTGTTTCCTGCTTTGCTCTGACAGTTGCAGTGAAAGTGTCTTTTGTGGTTGTGTCCTTCAGTTTGAGTGTTGAACTTGCATTGTGGCCTATCCCCAGCTATCCTCGAGGCTTTTAGTTTCACCTTGAAAGTCCCTTCTACTAGATAGTGGTCTGAACCCACATCTGCTCCTCTCCTTGACCTTGTGTCCAGTAGGCTCCGTCTCCACTTTCTTGAAATTGAGATGAAGTCTATTTGATTCTTGGTGTTTCCATCTGGTGAAATCCATGTCGTCTTGTGTATATCCTTGTGTTTGAACACACTACCGCCAATCACCAAATCATTGAAGGCGCAGAAGTCTGAGAAGAGTTCACCATTGTCGTTCATTTCACCGAGGGCCTCTCAACCCATGGTGAGTTCTCTTCCTGTGTTGTCTCCTCCCAGCTTCGCATTCATGTCGCCCATCAGGATTTTGATATCGCCATTTGGGACGTTGTCCATTATTGCTTGTAGTTGTCTGTAGAACGCCTCCTTCTTCTCTTGTTCTGAGACGTTTGTAGGCGCATAGCATTGAATGACTGTAACTTTCCTTCCTTTTGAGTTGAACCTGGCTGTCATTATCCTGGAGGAGATTGGTTCCCACTGCATCAGAGCTTTGGCTGCTGTTGGTGTTGGAGATGTTAGGGTTACAGTAATCTAATAAAAGGAATATAAATGTAAGTCTGAGCTAGATTAAAGTTAGTTTAGGGATAGTTTTCCATTAGAGTTAGGTTAAGAAAAGATTAGGGCTAGAGTGAGGGTTAGTAGACCTAGATGAATGGATGTATAGAATAGTGTATTGCAAGCTCCAATCCTGAAATAGGAGGCATTTATGTCAAGAGTCAGAAGAAAGCATCCTGTGTAATAGTTGCAGGCATTCTATTCAACATTTTCATAGATACAATTAAAATATTTGTGATTATAATCTTAGTTTAAAGTCAAGTGGCAAAATAATTATTGTCATATATAGAATAATACATAAGGTGTATAAATTTTGGAAAGAGGTACATAATTATAAGATTATTAGACGAATATAAAATGTTACATAACATGGTGTGAAATTTGATAAGATAGAATTCAATATTGTAGAAATAAAAAATATACAAATTAATAATTTCGGGTTCAAAATGTCAAGTGGGTCAAGTGGAAAAGACTCAGAGTGAGAATAATAATGATAATAATAATAAAAATAATCGAAGTAATAAGGGGAAAGTACATAGTACAATAACTAAATAAACAAAATAAATAAATTGATTTTAAATTATTTAAATTAATCCCAGCGTGCTAAGAAAATCAAAACAAGATTTTTCTGAACGTTTCGCCGTGTAAGCCACAGCTTCTTCAGCAGATTTATTCGGATTTTCTTAACACGCTGGGATTAATTTAAATAATTTATAATGAATCAATCTAACTCGGCGCTCAAATTATTACAGGAAGTTCGTAACACCTACGGTCTGGAAACCTATAAAATAAGTAAATGTCTATTCATAGATACCTGCTTTTACTTAACAATCTTTTTTATGTTTATGGTGCGTTTAGAGTCATTTATCCGTTGGTACTTACTTCGTCCTTTTTTACGATCATCTGTGATTTAGGGCGGTAAATGCATCACGAAATAGCATGATATTCAGTTATCTGGATGCATTTATGTACAGTAATCGGTTTGGACTACTACTGAAGATTCCAGTGAGGAGCTGGAAATGAGAACGTCAACCTGTGTAACTTTTCTTTTTAACGCCAACTTTAGTTTGTATGGGGAAAAAGGTACAAACTTCAAGCTCTGTCTATAGGCTCGTCTGATTGGTTGATCAAGGTTATTGTGACGGCCCTTCTCTTCGGTCACTATAGGTTAGAATAAAACAAACTTTTATCGTATGAGAAATCATTTTTGAATGTATTTTTAAGAAAAAATAACATGTTATCATATTAGTGATTCATTTCAGTCACAAACTGTATGTGTGCTGAAAGCCGTCGGATACATTATATAAACTTTCAAGTCAAAGTAACTCAAAAAGATGATAACTGCTCGGCAGAAAAAGAAGAGAGGATTCTCATCAGTCAGCGGTACTCGTGCGTCGGTGGCACTGTGGTTAGGACTCTCGGCGACTATGCACATGGTTCTGGGTTCGATCCTCGGCCGGTGCACACCTGATATCTACGGTCGACCTTCAGAATTTGGGCTACAGATATCACATGCTGAAAATTTCATACTTGTACAAAAAAATACGGTATGGAATCAAGCTGAAATCAAAAAAGAAATGGTAATAAGCTCAATGGTAAGTGAATTAGAAGTAGTTGATGCAGATGGCGGCATGAATGACACGAGTAGAATGACAATGCAGATATTTCGGTAATTTGTTTTCCATTATTCCTTGTATTCTAAATAGAACAATATGCTTCGTTCTTTGAGGTTTCAGTAGCAGGGGGTTCGTTTTTATTTTACACGATGGATCTGCTAGCATCACCATTAATATTTCGTGTTTTCCAGGTTTACTATAGGTTGACGGGGTTTAGGAGTTCTCTGGAATAAGTGTTATACATTGCTACTGATCGACAGGGATAAAAATGATTGATTGTTGATTTTACTGAATTTCTCCCCAAGTAACTGCATGAAAATTCAGTGACGCGTTTCTTAATGTGCTCGACTGTTCATTCTGTAGAGCATTAGTTAAATTTTGAAATATTGATAGAAATTTAACTGCCACTTGATTATTGACTGTCTATCAGCTGGAAAATGATAAACAAAGTGTAATTTCTTGAAGTAAATTGGTGGATGGTGACTAGCAATGGACTCCAAGATGCTTGTTTCATCCAGTCTAGGACTCATCAGTGGGATGTGCTTGCATTCCTAGGTGAGTGGTAGTGTTCCCACTGTAGGTCGAACCCAGTACCTATCGTTTCAAACGCCAAAGCGTCGAAACATCTGCATGAGGAGCCGGTATGTCAGCCTTAAGCCATGAACGTCGGTCTAATCAATCATCGGGAAGTTCAAGTTGATTTAAAAGATAGTAATTACGTTATAAAGTCTTTTCATAGTTTTAAACTGTCTTTGAAGTATTACCTCATTGAATAAATCTCCATTACAAGTGAAACTGTGAATACTAAATAATTTCAAATTTATTGATCATAAATATCCACATCATTTTTGTAATCAATTTGCAGGTTGGAGGTGTAGGCAGTAATACAGACAGACGATGTCTTTACTCCGGTCAAACCATTCCACCTGGCTTTCCTAAGGAAGGTCAGGAAGTATGTGACACAGATCTTTGTAATGGTAAAACAACAGGTACACCAGGTAAGTGTGTTAAAGAATGTCTTCTTAATATCAAATGACTTATTTTATGCACTAATCTTCCCCATGTTAAGCATGTCAATTAAGCTGCTATTTCTGTGGCAATGTGGAGTTGTTATTATTCAGATATAAGTTAGTCTGACAACCCATTAGGAGGTACACAGCTCAGGTGTTCACTAGGCACTTTAAATGATTGTCTTAGAGTGTTGTAACTAATATTTATGATTTTAGTGATGTTCTGAAGCCGATTTATTCAATAATAATAATCGTTTGAATCGGTGGTGTTTTATGATTAAACTATGCTAATTGTGTTTCATACAATTTTTTGAATAGCCAGAAATGCTTATGAAACTTGATTAGTCATTTTTCCGAAATATAATAATTTAGGTAGTTACACTAGTGTTTTAGATCAAAGGATTGAGAAATATCATTCACTATTCTGAAAAATAAGATTACTAGGACAGACTGTAAGTATTGTGTTCGTAAAATAGCGGAAACTGCTAACATGATATCTTTTTGATAGTTAATGAGAAACGGTTGAATTTCAGAATACGCACTTCTTCACATATGAGACTAACCAGCTGAGTGTACCTGCATTCCCAATAAATAATTTTCTTCCCATTTTTAATCACACTCTACACGCTTTATTTCAGACTGCAAACGTTATTCATTGCGCAGCTAGGACCGCTTCCTTATCAATAGATATCAGTTTTCATTGTTTTAAATTATTTTGCATTTCTTATTGATTAGTCATATTAGACTGAAAGGCTCTGTCTTTGTTGATATGGATGAGGGGTTCGAGTCTCCTTGGGGACATCATTACTCCCTGAAAATGCAGGTACGTACATGTGGCGAGTACTGAATAGGATGAAATGCTTATCCTGGTTACCACTACCAATCATCATAAAACAAAGCAACATTTAAGAATTTGTTGAAATGTCTGTACTAGGATGTTACACATCAACAGAGATCAAAACAATTCCCTGCAGCAATAATCAATCAACGGATGATATAAACTAACTTAAGACAATACTAAGCCGATAACAATGTTAACTTAAGCATACTTGTTTTAATTTGAAGTACTATAGGGAATCAAAAAACATGCATCACTAAAAATGTATCAATAACATTTTGCTTCTGTAAAGACTGTAACCACCAAAACCGACTTTTTGTGGTCTAAAACGGAGAGGACAGATCCTAGAATCCTACTATACAGCTCACTGAAACTTCATTGAAAAACGCTCGGTCACAAAACTCTCCAAATTTAGCAAAATGGCGATTGTTTTTTGTCGGAATCTATGTGTGGTTTTATTCAGCAATAATAACACCAAAGACTCAAAACTACCTCCTCAGTGACGTTAGGCAGCTATGCGGGGAATGTACGTTGCTATGCACAAGAAAGCAATGTAGCAAAAAAATGTAGCCATCGGGGAAGTATTGTAGAGTCAATTAGGGATCAAAACCTCTGTCCACACGAAGCACACACCAATGCTTCTTACAGACAATCCTAGATCAGAATGACTTTGATTCACTCAAACGAAATATCATCGTAGAATAACACATCGATGTACACAAAACAAAGAGAGATGCCTTAAAATTAGACACTAAACAGTGAGAAAGACAAATAATAAGGATCAAGTCAATATGTGATATAAAAACGCCAGGTCAACGATGTAAAGTCTATAAGAAAAGGGGACAATAATTAAAAAGTTAGTTGTGAAATGTCCAAATAAGAATTAATATTGTGATTCGATTGTCCAGAAGGGATTCTTCAAACAATCTTACCATTACAAACATTCATTATAAATATTCACAGTCACCATTTTCATTTGATTTTGCTCCAGAAGTACTGCTAAATGTGGCCGACTAAAGGTTCATTTGATTCAGGGTACACAAATGATAAAGTTCATTTAAAAGACAGCCATTAAAGTAATACAGTCCTCTAAACTACAAAAGTGGTAATTCTGAATATGTTTGGTGGGCTAAATGAGTATGGCTAATCGACTAATGAGATGATGAAGATCATTTGGTTACTGTGAGCCAGAAGCTTTCTTCTTCAATGAGCTGTGTTAGGTTAAGCAGTATTAGATCACGAAAGTATTAGCCTTGTTTAGACAAAAAACATTTCATCAATCCACTAATTTACTAGTTGTTGACGTCAGTCACGCTGAGAAGCACTCCTTGTCTGGATGGGTTCCTTGAAATGTAGGCAATCAACGGTCGTAGACTTCTTGTGATATAACTTCAGTCTTTGAAGATTGTTTTACAGATAAATAGATAAACACTTTATGTCATCGTAGAGAGTCTGGTAAAACCTCACAAATCTTCAATGAACTGTTTCGCACCCATACATCTTTTATAATTTCATTACATTTAAGTGTGTGTATGACTGATACTTAAGACAAGTATCTAAGCTTTCAAGTCAGTTTTTAGGTCAGTCAGCTGGCTATTTTAACGAAAGTTAAGTGTGCTAACCCTCGATTGCATAAGTTATAATTGTATCTTGTATTGGTGCATTCATTTGGATATCTGCAAGAGCTCAAAATCTGTAGGAAGTAATAAAAGGTATTTTCTATTATCAGATAATGACTCTTTATTGAATTTGTTACTCATTATTTAGCTGAATTTCTATTTTCTAAAATATTTCAGGATTTGAAATTGGTAAGTGAAAATTGATTGCATATTATTAATATTATTATTATTATATCCTTTAATTCCGAGAGGAACACAGGGCTTCAACTGGGCATCTCCATTGCCTTCGGTTTTCTGCCAACTTTTCACCCCGCTCCAAGTCTGCCCACATGCCTTCATCTCCTCTTCACTTGACCTCCTCCAAGTCACCCTCGCACTGACGACCGACTCGCCGCTTCCCTTTCGAGTTCAACTCGAGCAATGGCTTGTCTAGTGATGTCACTTAATGGTTTCCTCAGAGTATGGCCAGCCAATCCATCTCCATTTCTTCCTGCCTATCTGTTTCACAACCAGTTCCTGGTTCGCTCGCCCCCCTAGGGATCCCTCTTGCTGATCTTTTCTGGCCGGCCATCTGATCTTGAGTATTGAGCGAAGACAACTGTTAATAAAGGTCTGTAGTTTGTTTGAGATGCTCTTCATGACGCGCCAAGTCTCTGATCCGTATACGGTAACACCGACTTCACATTTGAGTTGAAAATCCGGATCTTATTTTTCGATGCTGAGTGCTGTTGACCTCCGTACAGACCTGAGAGTAATGAAAGCTCGTCTTGCTTTGATATCCTCGTCAGTTCCATTCGCCTGTATTTGCAACGATGCTTCCTCGGTCGGCAGGTAAAGTAGGTTGTTTCTTTCAGGTTCCTTCCATTTATGCTGGCTGATTGTTGTCTGTTGTTGTTGTTGTTGCTGTTGGTCAGGAATCTTCATCACCTCTGTTTTATCTATGTTCACCTGAAGGCCAATCTTCTCTGGATGCCTCTTCTGCCAGCTTGTTGCTTTTCACTCGCATATCTTCCAGTTTGTGGAAAATCAGACATATATTATCGGCAAAGTCCAGATCCCCCAAGTTTTTTGTGTGAGTCCATTTTATGCCTGTTTCCCCGCTGCCCAGCCTGGTGTCTGTCGCATAATCCAATCTACTGCAATCAGGAAGATCATTGGCGATAGTAGACAGCCTTGCCTCACTCCCGTCCTCACTTCGAAGGATTCCGTAAGTTTCCCGTTGTGGGTTGCTTGGCATGCAGCATTGTCGTATAACTGTTGGATGAGATGTATAATTGTCGATGGCATCCCGTAGTAGGGAAGTAGTTTCCAAATGACCTCTCGATCGACGCTGTCGAAGGCCTTTTCAAAGTCGATGAAGCTGAGATAGAAAGGGGACTACCATTCCAAGCTTTGTTCAGTGATGATCCGTAGTGTGGCGATTTGATCAATGCATGACTTGTTTCTCCTGAATCCAGCTTGTTTCGGTTGAAGTTTTTCATCCAGGCTCGCTTGCTCGATTCTCTCCAGGATGATGCGGCTTAGTATTTTGCTTGGGATGGACAGGAGCACAATTCCGCGCCAGTTTTTGCATTCACGTAAGTCTCCTTTCTTTGGTAGTTTGAATATGTATCCTTTCTTCCAATCTTCGGGTACTTTGCCCTCTTTCCACACCTTCTCCAGCAATGGCGTCATCAAGTCCGCTGTTGTCTCTGGGTCCATTTTCAATTCTTCTGCTGGAATTCCATTTAGTCTTGCTGCTTTTGCAGCTTTTAGCATCTTGATTGTATTCAGGACTTCTGATTTCATTGGGGGGTCGATGTTCACTGGAAGTTCTGCTTCCGTTGTTGGTATTGTTGGGCGCGTTGCATATAACATATTATATATATATATATATATATATATATTCATTCATTTCTACTAATCCTGACGTCATTGATTCATTAGTGTTCAAGTTAGACTGGAATAGGCTAAAACCGGTACTGATTTAGAAGCTGAACAAGCGATAGGTAGTAAAAAAATGAAGTAGCACTTATTTTGAGCGTTAGGTAATTTAGTAATAAAGATTTAGATCATATACGACAGCAAAGAAGATATAAAAACTGCATAAGTCGAAGAATTCCAACATGATGAAATAAATTAGCAATTTCTACAAAGATCTAATTATTATACCTTTTTATTAACTTTAGAAGCTTAAGTCCTCCACCATCACACACTTACTGTGGTGAGAGCTGACTGCTAGCCAAAGTAGCTAGACAGTAATTTACGTCAGTGTTTGTGTCCCAAATATTGTTCGTGAGAAAATGAGAACAAAGACTTTGCTCAGGCGAATACAGTTAGCATATAGATGATCTGTTGCCTGGCCTTGTCTTCTGTCGCTGCCTACCAACAAATAGAAAGCCTATGCCATGCAGTTTTTGATGGAGACGTATAATCTTCGGGCAGGACTTCGAAGCTTCTGCTCAGTTGAGTGGCGTTCAAGATCTGTCAGCGACGAGGGTGCTACTTGAGACGCTACTGGAAGGTCGGGAGAAAGCAGCATATGAAAGTGTTAGATGAAATACCGAATAATGTGAGACAGGGTCAGGCAAACATTTTCCAAAGTGGGAAGGACCACATATGGTCACGTTGAGATGAGGTTACTCAGACACAATCGCATTGGCGAACGAAGTGAAACAGATTAAAATCAGCGAGTGCCGAGAATCCAAACAACAAGACAAACGAACAAAGCCCTAGAACCGAGTAGACCGAACCATCTTCAGTCGCAATCTTTGATGGGGGGACGAGCGTGGTGAGAGCTGGCTGCCAGCCAAGTTGGTAGACATTAATTTACGTCAATGTTTATGTCCCCAGTACTGGTCGTGAGAAAAATGAGAACAAAGACTTTGCATAGGCGAATAAAGTTAGCAAATAAATGATCTGTTGCCTGTCCCTTGTCTTCTGTTGTTACATTACTAGCTACTCTTACAATTACTTTACCATCTTGTCGTGTTTCAATAGTATTATTATTTTTATTTCTGTCAGTAATGATGTTTTTCTTTCCAATCATTCTATGAATTGAATTTACAGAGAACCCAATCAGTTGTTATGTTTGTAAAGACTGTGGAAAAGATAACGAAAGAATTGAAAAATATTGTGGCGCATGTGTGGTAAGTTATAGTCTATTATCTCAGCGTATCAGAAAATCGAAATTATAATAAAATTTATGAGGTTGATCCATGCGTTAACCTGATATTTCAACAGGTATTGTGTTTAGAAGGACAAGGAGAAGTCGTAACTGAAAAAAATCAACTAGAAGCCTTGAATATGTAAGAAATTGGAATAAGCAGGAACTTTATTGCTGTTTCTCTGAGTATAGTAAACATAAATGAGATGCTATTATTCTTTACCGGTTGAAAAAGATGTTTCATCAAAATTTAATCGACTAACTGGGCAGAACAAACTTGATGAATTGTCGAAATTAAGAAGACATGTCTTTACATTCTTGTTAGCATAGATTAGGGTTCGAACCCTGATGGTGGGTGCGTATTGCCGAAGAGTCAAAAACTAACACGAAACAGCTGTCCAGTATTCCCAGGTTTTCCAATGGTTCTCTAACCGATGTCAGCTGATGATGAAATCCTGTAACTTATCAAATCAAATCCGTGTAAACCGAAACTTGAAAGTAAAGGCTGTTACTTAATAAAAAATGAATTCAATTATAAATTAATAAATTAATTTTATGAATAATTGATAACCGAGCATCTTTTCTGGAAATCTGATTAAGACAGGCACAGTTTAAGCAACACTGATATTAGGCGCAAGTGATTATAGTGAACTTTTAGCTTTGAAACTCCTGTGAATGGAAAAATACTCCCTATTTTTCTTCTTCCATGAATGCCTATACGTATCATTCCTGTAAATATTCTGTTTTCCTTTACTTCAGATTCATAAAACAGATGGAAAGGTAGTAAAATTATGCCTTCCAAACTGTGAAGGTGTTCCCAAAAATGAAAACACTTCCTGCTGTACAACAAATTTGTGTAATGGAATGACAAACGTGATTGTCAACAAGAATATTATCGTATTTCTACTTCTCCTCACACTGATGCGTGCATACACTATGTAAGACAATGCACATACCCCTACATATCGATTTGTTATGTTTACGTCCAAAACATTTAATTTTGTTCACATTAAAAAGGCGTCTTCTTTTATTGACATTATGATTGTGCAAATCTGTTATACGCCTTTGTTCAATTTTTAATTTAATCATTTGCTTATCTCTTGTACTCATATGTTTACCATACTTTCATCTTAACTTTCCATGTCTTTGAACTCAAATACTATTTATTATTATTGTTATTAAATTTAAAGAACAAACATCACTTGATTGTAAGCTTCTAAAATGCATAAATTTATTGGAAAATAAAACACGGAACTACAGGAATGCAATAATTGTTCAAAGGCGGTGAAACGGTGTAATACTTACTTTTTTAACCGTTTTGTGCTTAAATACGTTTCATAAACTGATACACTATATGGATTTTCTGTTGTTGTCAATAGTTTTTGATGTGGTTGTGTTCTCTGAGCTGGATGGTTGATTTGCGAAGCTTTCATCAACCTGCTAGCTGACATCTTCAGCGCATACTTCAATTCGATGAAGTGAACTTTTAGATTTCTCCACGAGTTTATTAATCATCTCTCCAGGTGACTGGACCTTGGACGTGATTGGTTGTTTTTGTGTGTTTTCACACCTTCTAGGCAGCCACTTGTATTGAAACTGATTGCTTCCTTGACTTGAACGTTGACCCTTTGTGTGTGAAGTTTCTTTCTTATTGGTTGATAAATTTTGTATATATTGATGTGTCTATTGAGTGATGATTCATTGGAATGCCATTTCACCCAATTCTGTGTCAGCCAAAGGACTTAACAGCGAGCGAAGATAAAACCAACATCATCTACAAAATAAATTGTTACAACTGCGAAAAGCACTACATTGGTCAAAGTGGACATCCTCTCCGTCTTCGTATCCACGATCATAAGCTAGCCTTCAAAAGAGGTGATATCCATTCCCTCATATCACTGCATACAGACAACCACGGACATCAATTCAACTGGTACAATCAACGTTCAAATATTAGACAGAGGAAACAATAAGAATGCTAGAGAATTTTCAGAAGCCCGTCTGGCATTTCAGTGAATCATCAATCAATAGACACATCAATATATACAAAATTTATCAACCAATAAGAAAGAAACTTCACACACAAAGGGTCAAAGTTCAAGTCAAGGAAGCAATCAGTTTCAATACAAGTGGCTGCCTAGAAGGTGTGAAAACACACAAAAACAACCAATCACGTCCAAGGTCCAGTCACCTGGAGAGATGATTAATAAACTCGTGGAGAAATCTAAAAGTTCACTTCATCGAATTGAAGTATGCGCTGAAGATGTCAGCTAGCAGGTTGATGAAAGCTTCGCAAATCAACCATCCAGCTCAGAGAACACAACCACATCAAAATCATCAACCTGAGCTACAAATCTTCTCTATCATATCTAAATCCTACGAGTGGGATACGTTGTCAATAGTGTCTCAAAACCTGTTAAGAAATATTCATAATAATTGACTCTGGTCCTTAAGAATCTGTTTGCAGTAAGAAGACAGATACACATAAGCTTCTGGTGAAGCGCAAGCTAAGTCTGTTAGCTACATGGAAGAAATGAATTGACATTCTACCGTTAAGAATCCAGATCTTGTTCCCCATGTTGACTATGGCTGATTTCCAGACTGATTTTAGAATACATCAATAATTCCCATTCGAACATTAGTAGACAGAAGACAAGTAGTTCAGCGAAGAGTCTCTTTTCGGCGAATTCATTTTCATAGCTGTACAATCGCAAATATATATGGTTATTTTGTGTGTGTGTATACATTAAATTTGTCAAACGAAAATACAATTAGTAAGTTCAGATGAATTGGATGTTGATAAGAGGATAGCAACAAAAGTGATGAGTTGTCAAAATGATTGTTAAATAAGAGTTACGTAATGGCATGAATAGTTTGATGAATTAGTTGTGCTCAAAGGGTGTACATGGAAACAAAATAATATACATAATTACACAAGGGTTTTAAGTTAGAAAAATAAGCATGCAAACAGAAGTAAGGTCAAATCAAACAAACAAAGAAAAATTAGGTCAAATCAACAGAGCTGTTACCATGCGAGTAGAAGTGGTTGGATAATTTTCTTTTGTATGCATAGTTGAGGTTCCACCAACTGGATGGCTAGGGCTTCTGCGATGCAAAGAAGACGGAATCGTACTGTCTTTGGAAGGTTGTTCTTCACTTTGTAGATTACTTTGAAGGAGGCGTTCGTTGAGATGGAATGACCAGTGTTGACGAGATGTTCGATTATTGCACTCCTTATATGGCCATTATTTCCTTTCTGCAGCCACGCTGGATAGTGTTCTTTGACCCTTTTTGACAGGATGCGCATTGAACGACCGATGTACCTGGCTCCACAGCAACAGGTGAACTGATATATACACATAGAAGTGGTCATGTGCGGAATCTTGTCCTTTGGGTTTCTGCAGATCAGCGGGCTACTGGAGAACAATATTCTTAGTGTTGCCGCAGGGAAAGTTCTTCCTAAAGAGTTGGAAATTCTCCTTCTGAGGACGTCACTAAGTAGGTCTCCTTTGAAGTCTAGGTTCATATAAAGTATCTTTTTTGGCACGGATGGTGTCTCTTGCTTTTGGTTTTTCTGTTTGTGTTTTTCTCTACGAATCTTGGTGGGTAGCCATTTTGTATGAAGATTTCCTTCAGGAGGTTTAGTTCTTCTTCCATGGTGTCGGAGCTGCAGATGCGTCTGACGCGAGTGGCAAGGGATTTAATTAGGTTTCTTTTCCGACTGATTGGTACCCAGCTGTAGAAACTTGTTAATTGTCCGGTCCAAGTCGGTTTCCTATGGATTGACCTTCTTAAAGTTCCGTCATCTCTCCTTGATTTTAGAATACTGAAGGCATGCTTTGCTTTTTACGACCCGGCCTTTCATATTCTTATCCGTATCATCTGTATTTGAAATGTTGCTGCTTACGTAGTGAACGAGGTGACTAGTCTTGATGGTGATTAATGCTTGTTGTTGTTGTTGATTGCCTATTTTCATCATCTCTATCTTCACTATGTTCGCTTGATATCCTGTCTGTTCTGCTTCTTCTGCCAACTTGTTAATTTTGGCTTGTATATCATCGAGTATATTGGACACAGGTTGTAAATCACCCATGAAATGCAGATTTTCTAGGGAATTTATGTCTGTCTGACGTACGCCCTTGTTCTTCTTCTCCAAGATCTCTCGTGTGCTCTAGTCCACTACAATCAGGAACATCGTCAGCACTGGCTTGCAGCCCTATCTTAGTCTTATCTTCTCCTCAGTGGACCTTCTGTCATGAACGACTTGGCATGTGACATCATCATTTAGCTGTTGAATGAGGTCGATAAAGGTTTAAGACACTTTGATTCTTATCACGGAGACTATTTCCAAATTGCCACTATGCGGCTTTCGATAAAGAGGAGTGAGGCTTTACCTCAATCCAGCTTGTTGAGGATTGAATTTGATATCGTGAGCATATTTTAGTTTATCCAGGATGATGCAGTTTAATCCTTTGTTTCGAGTGAACAGAAGTACAACTGGGTGCCAGTTCTTTCAGTGGTTTCTGGCCACTCCTCTTTAAGAGTTTGAATAGGTTAACCCATGACTGGAATTAGACAGTAAATTCTACAGGCTGAAATACATAACACATTCTTGCAGTATAGTATTTTAGAGTGCTAGACAAGTTGTCCATCTACTAATTTGTATTAGACAACATTTAAAATCTGAAATGCTCTTTACCTTCTTTGCTAAGAGACATATCTGTCTTTTAAGCTTAAAGGTATACTCAAAGAGGTCTTTGTAATCTCGTCATTTTAGGTGAAGTTTGTAGTTAATATGCCGCTATTTGCGGATACTTTACTTATCGCGGTGCATTCATAAGTAAAACTGTATGCATCGGATTTTTATGCGCCTCAAATTTCGATGACGTTTGAATGTGATAACAAGATCTATTACACATCATGTAATATTTCGTGAGTACATCTTGATTGTCGGGCATAAACAAGAATGTAGCACTATCAGTTAGTTTACGCCTCAACGATCGACGGACTTCTAAAACAGAAACACGTATTTTTGACCATTCTTGTATGTCAGCAGTTAGAGTACGCGTAGACCCCTTCATGATTTACAGTCTTTTCTTTTAGCATAACTAGGAAATTCAATGTCTTTCTCACTCTAACCCACTCGATATCAGTTTTACAAACAGTCAATTTTAATGTAAATTCCATTAAGGTCGTTAAGGTTAAATAAATTCAACTTTATTATCATCATAAATGGTCAAGTTCTGTTGAAAGCACCAAAATCAACTACTAGAGATGAATTTCTTGTCTTGGTTCATTTTATTCCTGAGATGTGAGAACGAAAATGAATTCAGTCATCTTGTTCCCAATCGTAGGCCAAATAAATAGTAGCATTTCTCCTTACTGTTGTCTAGTAAGCGAATAAACACGTAATCGAATTAGCTATGTAAGAAACTACTTACAGTTGAAATTGTGCATACCTAGACTCAGTGGCCTTCATCGATTGTGGCTACAGTCAACGGGAATTACAGTATGAGTTCATTTCCTCGTACAATACTGATGGTCATTGAAGGTTCCCAGACTGTTTGAACCAACTGTTTTTGATTCGATCCATGAAAGGTAACAAAAAAGGAATGACTTGGAGTTTTCATTTATCTTCTTCAATACCAAAGCACCAGTCTAAATCAATTCGAAACACTTTTTATCTTTTCGACGGTCATCATCGAGGCTGCACATTCGTGTATTTATATCAAATGGATGGGAAAGTTCCAGAATAATTTCCGGTTAAGGGTCAAATTAAGAAAAATTAAAATTAGGAATTAGAATGCCATAATAAACAGGGGCGGGGGATAGATAAAACAAAAAAAGTAGCATCATAATAACTAAGAAGATTAACATTGTGCAATTAGGGGTTAGAAATGTAGAAATAACAAAATTAGACAGGATGTTCGGATAAAAACTAG